CCATCCCACAGCACGGAATCACACCAAAAACCAGTGCAGAACACATATCGCCACATTTGGTGATCTTAGGGCACATATAAGCGTAGAGCCCTCAAAACTATGTCTCGGATCATCCCAATAACTCTGGACATACATAACCTATTGCTAATAAATCTAGCAGTTCATTCTGGTTGATATAAACGCTTCATCAAGCACATTTTCTAACCATCTACTAGTCGAACTTTTAGCCACAGCTATTGAGTTTTGAGCTATTTTAAAAATATGAGGTAAATCAAAACTAATGATACAAAAAAGGAAACATGCCTGTGACTACTACACTGAATTGTTTTCACAAATGCAGATATATCATGAATGTAGATCTGTCGCATTTCTATGGACATGCACAGATTTTCGATGTGAAAGCCTTTTGTGACACGACAGGTGTCTACTTGACAGTTTTGTTCAGGAGTTCTTACCAAACAGGTATATGGATCCACTTTATTCTGTTATCTATTGTACCCATAAAGGCAGTGACTTACCGCCACATCTTAAATTTTTAAGTAAAATAACTTGGAAGAAAATTTTAAATAAACATTTCCTTATTTTATAGTGAACCTAATGTTTATACAACCTGTGTACAGAAAATAACTGTTAAATGGAGTCTATAGACATATGAGTATACTTTAAAAAATATGAGATGACTTAAAAAATAAACCTTTATGAGACAAAATTCCAGCAAAATTTTACATTATTGCGTGAAATTTGTAGTGATCAGGCAGCGGAACATAGTATAGCTTTCCGCTGGCTACTAGACATCTATAAAATAGTATCAGACATACCTGATGATCGGAAATTAGGTAGACAAAAATTATCAATACATTAAAGAAGTGTAATCTGAGGCAGAGTAACCAATGCAGCTGTACTGAGCGGCAGTTCTAAGGAGTCAAAAAATTTAGAAATAGCGAGTAGCAAAAAGGCCTAGCGCTTCCTCTATGCTAGAGCAATATTTGTATTGAGTGAGAATGAAATAAGGTCCTCAAATAACGTATGATAAAATATCACAAGTTAAAACTATTTCACTATCAGTATGGTATATTTTGACAGAAACTTTGGAGAAGAAAGACGACTGTGTTCAGTTGATCCCGCATTACTTGATGCAGTGTTATTGATATGAAGATTTGATGATGAAGGTGAAAGATTTCTATCCTGAATAACATCAGTTGATTAAACGTGAACTGAAAATTTTGACTAGAACTGAAATTATTGTCAGTCCAGTGATTTGCCCTCGACCCTAAATATTTCAACATGCACAATCATAGGTGAAATAAATTATTATCTCTGCCTAGTATTACCATTTAATTATTATGAAAGATAAAATTCATGTTGGAAAAGTGATCATTGCAGCATATTATCACACATGGTTGCAAAAACTATGAAGGAATTGCATAAAAATCAGCTGAATTGCTTAGGGATAGGGAGTTAATTCTGAAGGACACCTGCAGAAAGTTGTGATAAGTCTCTTAACCAAGTGCACAAGAAAGAGTTCAACTCACCAAAATTAAAATCCTCGGATTTAAAATTCTTCCCCAAATTGAAATACTGGACTGCAGACTGAAGGAGATTACTTCAGTAGTTATTCAAGCCATTCAAGGATTGAACAAAAGTGATACCCAACAACAAATAGTAAATCTTCCTAGTGGATCACAAGTGTTGTGAATAATGGGATCACAAAGAAGGAATGTAGGTAAAAACAGCCTGAAATAAAATTAACTTATAGTATTACAATAACTAATAGTATTACAGAACATTATTTTTTAGATCAACTTCGTATTTGTGTATTTTGTGCTATTCTGGTGTTCATTACATGCTCAAAATGTAATTGCCAGAAATGAAATTATTTGCACTTTTATTTGTAACTCGGAGGACAAGCCTGAGTAGACAGATGGAAATCGATCAAATTATTACATACATAATATAAGAAGTTAAATTTGAAATTAATAAGGAAATATATTTCAGTTTGTAGCATGGTTTCAGCTTCAAATTCCATTTATATTTCAAAAAATTAAACTACTTTTTATTTAAAACAAGTTGAATTTCAGAGGGCAAAGGGCCACAAGAAGCTCACAAGCTGCAAGTTAATGTGTCAGAGAGTCACAGTTGGCCATGCGTGATATATATATATAAGTAAGAAATTTAGAACCAATTTCACAAAGACCCAAAAGAAGTGAAATTCAAGCATATTGTGCAGAAATACTTGGAATAATTTTGTTTTTAAATAAAAAAAAATTGTGACACTGTAATACAGTCAAAAGTCTTTAATCCAGACGTCCATAATCCAGAATGATCTATAATCCAGACCTCAAAGCTACAATCTTTCTGCGCATGCGTAAACGCATTATGCGTTTACGTATTATTCGTTTATTCATGCGTTTATTCATGCACATATGCGTTTGTGCATGCGCATAATGCGTTTATGCATGCGCATTTAATGTATAACGGACAGTATAAGCTAAGCTAAAATTATCTAATTATCTATTTCAGTTAATGTTGCAAATTGTGTTGTTCCTTAATCTTCTAATTGTATCTGGCTTATTATTTTTTTTTTGCAGACTGTTAGAGCAATTGTATAAAAGTAAGCTTGAACTTTCGATTATGTCAAAAAGAATTTCCGATTCTGGAGCTGCCAAAGGATCTACAAAGCGAAAGCATGTTTCTACAGTCAAAAGTCGTTAATCCGGACTCGTCGGGACTTCGGCGATTCCGGATTATAGATCATCAGTTTAAATCTCGTAACATGGCATGCAGAAATTCTAAAATTAAAAATATGAAACCGTAATTTATGAAATAAAGAACAATTATGATCTAAAGGGTATCAAAATTTGCAAAAAGGAAAAGCTTAATATTCATTTGTTTACTTAAATAAACATTTCTTTCAATGTAAGTTGTTTAAGTTTTGCTTCGTTTCATGTGATAATACTTTCTCTTTAATTCTATTAAACAGACATAATTTCTTGTTCAGTTACAAAGTTCCGCTGTTCAAGTCCTATAATTGCTGTGTCAAGAACACCGACTAATTTGTCAATCGAGATTTTTTTCGTTTTCAATAACCTCTGTCACTTTTCTTCGCTATCGGAAGCGAATTATAATGACGAGGAACTTGTTTTAAATCACATCAAAGACGGAGCATATCGAGATGAAATACTACATTTGGTAAGGAATTATAAGCCAAATAAAATAAAAACATCTGATCTTCAATTATAAGCCAAATAAAATAAAAACATCTGCGCTGAAGATAAGGATAGTGTTGACAGATCAACTTCCAATTCATTAACGTGCCCGCCGGCGTGTTCCCCCCGCCGAGCAGTGTGAAATTGATAAACAGATTTCGAATTTCAAAACATACTTTCGCTTTAGATCCTTTACATATTAACAAATATATATCGGAAATTCTATTTGATATAATCGAAAGTTTAAGCTTACTTTTATAAAATTGCTCTTACAGTCTGCAAAAAATAATAAGCCGGATCCAATTCGAAAATTAAGGAACAACGCAATCATCAACATTAACTGAAATAGATAATTAGATAATTTTAGCTTATACGTCCATTATACATAAAACGCGCACGCGAAAACGTATTCTGCACTTGCGCACACTCATATGTGCAGTCGTAAAAGGTCTTACGCGCACGCGTAAACGCCTATGCGCATGTGTCAACACGGCGCATGCGCAGAAAGTTTTTAGTTTTGAGGTCCGGATTATAGATCATTCCGAATTATGGGTGTCCGAATTAACGACTTTTGACTGTATATCCATCAAACAAAAAGTGGAATTGCTGCAAAAAATGGATAAAGGCATATCCTTTGTTTCTCTAACCATTCCGAAATCTGTTTATCAATTTCATGCAGCTCTGCGGGGGGCGGGGGACGCGCACAGTGAACTGGAAGTTGATCTGTCAGCACTATCTTTATCTTCAGGGCAGATGTTTTTATTTTATTTGGCTTATAATTCCTTACTAAATGTAGTATTTCATTTTCTGCAGACTGTTAGAGCAATTTTATAAAGTATTTATATAATTGCTGCAAAAAAATGGATAAAGGCATATCCTTTGTTTCTCTAACCATTTCGAAATCTGTTTATCAATTTCACGATGGTCTGTGGGGGGGACGTCGCGGTGCGCAATGAACCGGAAGTTGATCTGTCAGCACTATCCTTATCTTCAGGGCAGATGTTTTTATTTTATTCGGCTTATAATTCCTTACTAAATGTAGTATTTCATCTCGATGTACTCCGTCTTTGATATGATTTAAATCAAATTTTCCTCATCATTATAAATATCACGAATACACATGAAATAGTTTTCTGGTTGAAATTTTCTAATTTTGACTATGCGTAATGTATGCTTTACACATGCGTGCGTTGAAAGAAATGTTTAATTAAGTAAACAAATAAATATTAACCTTTTTTTTTTTTTTTTTTTTTTTTTTTTTGTAAATTTTGATAGCAATCTAGATTTTGATAGCATCTAGATCATAATTGCTCTTTATTTCATAAATTACGGTTTCATATTCTTAATTTTATAATTTCGGCATGCCATCTTACCAGATTTAAACTGATGATCTATAATCCAGAAAAACCGATAATCTGGAATCGCCAAAGTCCCGATGAGTCTGGATTAAAGACTTTTGACTGTATATATATATATATACACCTAAAAAGAGAGAGAGAGAAAAGAAATTAATATGGTTTATTTAAATGGGAGGTATTCTTTAAAGTTTCAAGAATACAATATGTTTTATCTTTAGCGAAAATATTCAAATGGAAATATTTCATTACTTATATATAAATTGAGATTAAGGTAATTGTCAATTAAAATATAATTTGAAATAAACATTAAATTTATTTTAATTATTTAATATTTTGTATTTTTGATTGAAAAAAACGAAGCGTTATTTTCATGTATGTAATTGACTTTTGAAATTTTATGTTTTGAATAATTATTTATTTTTGACCATTGTTTCAGATTAAAAGTAATATGTGTTTTAAATGAACAGCTAGTATTTGAGGACTTCTTCTCTGAGGTATGTTAGAAAATTTTGAAAAAGGTAAAAAAGTTAACATTAACTAACTCCTAAAGTTAGTATCAATTAACTTATAATATTACCAGACTATTTATAAAATTAAAAATGTAATTAGATTTTTTTTTTTAAATTAAGTTTCATATTGTTTTTTAATATATATATATTATATACTTTGAATTGGTGTATTGTATTATTATTGAATTTCGTTTGTGCAGTTTTTAGTAAAAATCTATTGAAGATTTTATGTTAATTCATGCATATCCATATTATTTTAAAATATGTGCGAAGTTAGCTTGATTAGTTATTATGAAATAAATAGCTTTAAAATCTTATTATTTATTAAACTGTTAGTTTAAAAATTACTAGTTTCTCTTTTAATTTTCAGACATATGGTTCTTTAAAAGGCATTCTTAAAGATCCTGAAAAAGGTACAATATGGGCATTCTCTGACATGGCAATTTATAGATACAGAATATATAGAGAAGACAGGTAAGTTCTTTTTAAATGGTCTTTTCAACGTTTAAATTATAAATTGTATTTAATAAAATGATTTCCTTTCCTAATTTTTTTAATTTTTAAATTGTGATTTTGATGTATAGATTATTATAGAAAATTTAAATTTTTTTTTTTAAACTATGTGACTGAAATCAAATTTATATATGAGGTACAATGAAAAGAAGCTAATTTTACTTGTTATTATTTCATGTAATCTAAAAGTAGGTCATACGTTGCTTAATAGGGAAAAGATAAAAATTTCCTACTATCAAACATTCTATGGGTACATTTAACACAATACATATTCAAGTTCTACAACAGTTATGGAATTTTATTTTAATAATTAGATGTCAAGTTTCTTGTAATATGGATAAGGTTGACCTGTACAAAGTTTCATTTTTGAGTCCCTAGGGAAGAAGTAAAAAGATTTTGGGGATTACTCTTTTGTTCAGAATTAAGCCAGAATAGCATATTCCTTCAAATTTCAAAACAGTTACATATAGAGTTTTAAGATCTCCACTCTATACTTCTGACTAGTCCAGAAGATTGTATTAAAAACATGGAAGGGTGTGTGACCATTCAACATGATGACTCTCAGACCTTGATAGCTTCACCATCATAGTGAATCTTTGCCCTGATGTCAGAAGAATATTGGGTGTCATGCTCTCTGCAGATAAAGGTAGATCAAGAATCAGTATACATAGTGAATCAATATGTAAAGTGAGAGCACATATCGTCTTCATCACTGAAGAGAATATGGGTTTAAGATATATTATTTGCACTATGCCTGGAAAGCTCTCTGATGTGAGAAACAAGCAGAACAGAGATAGCAGATCCTTTGGCAGGAAATTTATATATTTGAAATTTTAATTTTATTTATTTGAAATTATATATAATGACATGTTTGACGTATCTCTGTAGCCATCACTTATGATGCTCCATTGGCTATATTTTTAATGTTGGAATAGTGATGTGATTCATGGATTCATTATATATCAAATCAAGTATTTAGCCATTGGATTGTAAAAAAAAAAGTCAAATGAAGTTACCGGAGCCTTTTAATAAATATACTTTTAATACTGAAAATTATATGTAATGGCACGTTTGAAGTATGTATTATATGTTTATATATCACTAATGGCAAAGAAAGATTTTAATGTGGGCACTGTTATTATTAAAGAAGTTATTTTGTACAGACATTAGGTTAATTGGAAAAGCCGGAGAGATGAAAAATGAGCAACGCCTTTGCCGGAAATCGAACCACGGACCTCTGAAATACTGGCTCAGTGTGCTGACCACTACACCACGAAGGCTTGCTAGGAAGGCGGGTGAAGTACCTTACATACTCTCCCTTTTAAATGGCGACTGGGGTTTTAAGGGACCCTATCACCAAATTTTGGGTGTGGAGAGTCATTATCCACAACCCTTTCAGTTCCAGCGCCACTGTAGAGACCTTAGGTTAATTGAAAAAGCCGGTGAGATGAAAAATTAATAACGCCTTCACCGGGAATCAAACCACGGACCTCTGAAATACCGGCTCAGTGTGCTGACCACTACACCCACGAAGGCTCGCTAGGAAGGCGGGAGATATACCTTACAATTTCTTGTACGGAATTCTGTATGTTATAAACTTATGTAAAGAATAGTTAAGCAACATTAGATTTACTTCAGTAATAGAATTACACAGTTTTATTCAAACCTGAGAGGTGGGGGTATAATTGTTTTCTCTTTCTGGCTTTTATATGATACAAATTTAAGACAAATTTATTGATCATAAATTTTAGCTTTCATGTTCATACTGTTGACCAGCATAACAAAATGTGCCTTTTAAAAAGTAATTTTATCAGTATTTTTTTATAACATATTACAGCAATTATTTTTGTACACTCTCATTGTTCTACATAAGACTAGTTGAGCTCTAGCCAATTATTTGCTCAGGAGATTTTATATGTAAATATGTAGAATCTCTTCTATCTGATATAATGTGATATTATTATTAAGCTCCTTTCTTGGTGTTCTTTAACAAAGAAAGTGTTTCTTTGCCTATGTAAAGAGGGGGATTTTGCTCTTGGAATAATAAGATTTTTGCTGGTGTAGGACTTTTCGCCGTCAGGACATATTTATCTTTATAAGACTGTATTTTATCTTGCCATATCATACTCGTTTTAAATTTATTTAGTTTAATAATTCTGTTTTCCTTTTGTATACTTAATAAAGGTTGCTTTAAATATATATAGTTATTTACAAGTATGAGATACAAAGAAATTACACATAGTTAGTGGGAAAATTATGTCAGTCAAAGAAAACTGGGACTAAACTTCTGATATAATAGAAGTTATATTATCAGTTTTAAAACTATGGGGGTATTACATGATTCGTCAAAATTTCTTGAAATTTTAATCAGCCAGCTCAGAGAAATCTCTCATACAAGCAGGAAATTCACATTTTTATGAAATCTGAATGAAAAACGGAATTACTTTGGAATCATGTCAGCACCTTACTCTCTTAAAATTAATATGTCATGTGTAACGGTGTATTTGTATAAAACTGTACACAAAAACATTTTATGTAAAATGTTTATTAAATCAAATTAAATTTTTAAACTAAACAAAGTTATTAATTTAAATCAATATAATACGGCAAGATATAATACAGTCGTGTAAAAAGAAAAATATGTCTTAACAGCGAAACGTCCCGACAGTGAAATGGCCACGGAAAATAGTCCCATTCCCGATTTTTGCATCCTTTGCCATGCAATTCAATTAAACAGAAAGGGTAGGGGAGATAATAACATTTGAACCAACATCAGTACTGTCAATATGCTTTGATAAATGAGGTTATGTAAATAAGATTACTAAAAAGTGAAAAATAAGCTTTTCCATATTTCATTTTATTTGCATTAAACAGTAAAATATTTTTTTTATCATATAAAAAATAAAGTAACATACCTAAAATAAAGTAAGTAAATTACTGAAGAGAATGAAAAGTAAGTTTAGAGGAATAGACTCAGATCTTTTTACACTCTTTCTTTGCTGCTCTTATTCTTCAGTGAGCTGTGTTATTTATTATGCTGCTCTGAATGGTGATTTTTTTCTTTTTTTCCTCCATCTTGACTGTGCCACCACTCCAAATTTTTGCTGAAATACTTTTGTAGACAATATATCAAGCTATAATTTTTTATTATGGCATGTCTACAAAAACATTATTGTCTGCATTTGGGAATTTTTACTTCTTTGGCAAAATATATTAATATTTCCATATCTGAAGTGAATATGGCAAGTTGCAACAAATTAATGACTGGTTCTGTTAGAAATTAAATAATTCTTCTTTTTAAAGAGGAAAAAATATTCAAAATATTCGAAACATTCTTGATGTAAAACATTTAACTATTTTTGATGCAATAAAATAATGACAGTTGCTTGGCATTATTGAAAATGCATTGAAGTCTTGACCAAATTCCAAGCTTGACCAACACAAAGAAATCACAGATTTATTCTATGAAAACTTAAATGTGACCCAAAAATTAGTACTGTTAAGCATTAAGCAGAGCCAAAAGAATGGTTTGCTATAAAAGTTAACCCTAAAGCTTTTAGAAAAGTCATTTAGGCCATGTGGATACATTGGGCTATCAATAAGAAGGAAGTTCTTCATCAAGGAAACAAGGAAAATATGCTTGGCATCTGCAAAATCTTTAATAAGCTAAATTTCATCATAATGTATTGGAACAATGTTATTACAGAATAGTCAAGATTTAATGTATTTGGGTCTGATGAATGAATTAGTATGTGAAAAATCCAAATTAAGAATTAAATTAAAAAAACTTAATTGCCTAATGTTATGCGTAAGAGTAGAATCATATGTATGAAGAAGTTTGGGGATATTTTGCTGTCTGGTGTGTTTATTGAAAATAATATAGATTAGTTTAAATATATAAATACTCTTAATGGAAACCTGAAGGCATTTGCAAGAAAACTTGGAATGCAAAATACATACAAGCTTTATCAAGATAATGATCCTAAAGTCCTAAATGTTCACTTCTAGCTATTATACAAAACTTCTTCATATCTTCTAGGCTTAGATCCTATGGGACATGAATGGAGTGAGTTGGAAGGAAAAAAGTGAGGAAACATACTTTTTCATAAACTCTACTAAACACAATTCTTATGTAATAATGGAACATTCTTATATGAAAAAATTAGTTGAATCCATGACAAAGCCTGTGAAAAATTTGTTTTAGCTAAAGGGTATCCAGCAAAATATTGAATTTCTTGTTATATCCGTGTTTTTATTTAATATACTAGATTGTTCATTCAGTGTGTCCAAATACTAATGCAAGTTCATTTTTGGAATTTTTTGAACAAATTATTGTTTTTTTTTTTTTTTTTTATCAAAACATTTTAAATAATTTTTTTCAAAACGCTCAGGTTTGAAAATAGATGATCAATAGTATATGTAAAAAAAGTCATTTTGCTATAATTTAGTAACTGATATTTGCAAATAAAACAGAAAAACACAAGTATCTGAAAATAAATGGGAACTATTATATGTGTCTGTAAGGAAATATCATTTTGCACTTAAGAAAGGAAAGGTGGGGGGAAACACTATGCTACAGACTTATTCTCTTAAAAATCAAATGTTATTTTATACATCAAATTCTTATTCTCTCTGTTTCTAAAAGTTTAATTGCTCTTTCTTATAGTCACAAAAGAGACATGTAATTATAATATGTGTGCATAAACTAAATGAATCCTTTTAAATATTATTAAATCCGTACATTACCTCTCTCTGCGATTAATTTTCAACACATTATTATTAAGTAATAAGATTATTTTATGAAACATAATTGCCATATTTATTCAAATATTTTTCGCTGTCACATATTCACCTCCCCCCCTCTAAACATGCAGTTCAGATATTTCTGATATATGCAAGATGCAAAGTATAATGTGAAAGTAAAAGGAATAGTGTAGTCAACACTTAGTTAATGGGAGTAATACTGAGATTGACAACTGCAGTTAACTCAGAGTCCCAGTTAATCCAAGGGCAGTTAAAAAAGTACAGGAAAGATAAATGATCTATATATCAATTTACTTGTATATTAAAACAGTTTAATTTGGAGAATAAATTTGATTATATAAAATGGCCAAGATAAACTGAAGTTGAAGCAAGTAAAGAACACATGAACTGTTTGGTGGTGTTATATTAGGCGACCCAAGATAAATCAAACTAAACTGGACATTGTAGATTTGGTTTGGTTTATCTTAGGATCATCCTATATAAATTAAGTCAACATTCAAAAGAAAAGAACATGCAGTAAATAACAGAAAAATAAACATCATCCCAGGCAGCATAGCTCTAAAAGTACACCTACATTGTTGTGGGAAAATAAAGTATAATAAGCATACATTTTTGTTAAATAAAAATACGTAATGTTTGTTTACTGTTAGGCTGCCTGGGATTAGAAATGGTGAATTGTGAGTTATAAATGACTGACATAATCTGTTGTCACTGCTATTATCTCAAGCCCTTTTCTTTCTTTCTTTCTTTCTTTTTTTTTTATTTTCTGTGGACAATTTCATTTTATGCTGATGATTTGTGATGGTAATTTTCCCAACATTCCACAATAAATAAACTTAATGGTAAACTTTTCTTTATTTAAGCAGAATCTTGTTTGATCCAAAACTTAGTTAATCTGCCTCCAATTAATCAAGAATTTACTATGTTGAGAGCAGTAACTGGAACTTCTTTGAGATACAGAATACATAATATTAATACGTCTCTCTGTATATGCAATTTTTAATCTACCACCTTATTCTACATTCATACATAATTACTTTTATTCATGCAGAAAAGTTAAACACAATGTAATTCTCCTTTCCCTGTTTTAAAAATATAAAATTAATAAAAGTGTGGAGGACTTTGCATATAAGTTCGGTAATATTTGTCCAAAAAAATACTTTTCCAATGGTACCACCACATTCACCAGATTTTATTGCACAGATCATGCAGAAAAGTGGTTTTTAATTCAAAAACAATATACATGATATGTTTCTAATATCCTGTAATATATTGATCACAAATATTAATTACTAACAGCAGAAATTATCATTTGCATCAAAGCTAAAATCTAATGATAGAATTTCTTTAGTGATACATAAATCACACTACTCTGTATGTGTTTCTTTTTTTAATTTCAGTCAAATTGTAACCATCTTTTTCAATGTTATGAAACTGTCTTATTTATATGAATTGAAAAGCTGAAAGGTATACCATAAATTTCCAATCTGAAATCCCCCACCTAAATTGAGTTTTAATTTATTTCTGAATGAAGTTATTTAGTTAATTTAATCATTCAGCAATGATATTGTTACATGTGTACAGGTTTCATAGTTAATTGAATGCACACAGAACTGATGATAGGTTGATGAAATTTATTTTCCCCAAAGAAACATTTTACAGTTCATCAGCTTTTCTTAAAGTAATTGCACAGTTGTTCTCAGTATGACAGAGCACAAACAGTAGTTACCATTTCAAACTACTAAGAATGTTAAACACGAAACAATATACAAAGCCTCAGTGTGTAAGCTCGCAAAGTGGTCTCTCAGAACTCTGAGCTAAACTCTGTACTCAAATCTGAACTAAAGTGAGAACTGTGAAGTCTAACATAGTTTTCTCCCATCCACCAAGAAATTTCCAGTGTCTTTGAGTTCTCAGAATTGCTGGAATGCAGTAACATATTACAATTATGGTTGTACACAGAACACAGCATAGTTGTCGAAACCATTGCTGGTTTGATACTGTCTTGCCAACCATTATTGTTAAAAGGACTTGCTCTTGTAACATTTTCCAGCAAAGCTTCACTTTTTTTATTCTTTTCGTGTTACATTATACAAGAGACTGCAATTTTACTTACAATTTCACTAAAATCATTTACATATATATAATAAATTCAAAGTCGGAAATAACTGAAGAGCAGGAGGAGGAGACTCAGTTGTAATATATTCGGGAGCAGAAACAAACTTAGAAGTAATGCAAGCAGAATTTGGAGATCTACAGTTTTATTTTCACAACATGTTGCGGCGACATCAAGTTGGCACATTAATTGTGCCTGTTCCAAGAGATTTTACATTTTAGATAAATTTGCAATAAGAAAGAGCAGACAGACAGCAGTGAAGCTAGGCCAAAAGCGTGAAAAGAAGTGCGTAATGTTCAGGATGAAATCTTAAGTCAGACTGAGTTAATTTTGGTTCTCAAAGCATTTTGATTGGATAGTTAATATTGCTCCAAAATTAGTATTGGCTGATTAGAGATTTAGTTCCGTTTACATCACCAGAATTACGTAAGAGTCATATGACATAGATTTTTCTCGAAATGACACAGTGCAGAGAGGGGTTACTATTTTTAGAATAGAGAAGGAAAATTTATGTTGCTAATTTAATCTTCTTTACTTTTCTTACATATTTATAAATATACCTGTTCCAAAAAGCATACATTTCTGCTAACTTTATAGCAAGAAAGCAGTAGCAGACAGACTGCAGTGTAGCTAGGCCAAAGCGTGGAAAGCAAGTGCGTAATGTTCAGGATGAAATCTTAAGTCAGACTGAGTTAGTTTTGGTTCTCAAAGTATTCTGATTGGATGGTTAATATTGCTGTAAAATTATTATTGGCTGTTAAGAGTTTTCGTTCCACTTACATCATCATAATTACAATGTTGCTATTTTTAGAATAGAGAAGGGAAATTAATTTACGCTGCTAATTTAATTTTTTACATACTCTTACATATATATGGAATTTATAACAATATGTATTAGTTTCATTTATTTAATGTCAAACTTCTATTATAAAAGTTATATAAAAATAAATAAAGTTATATAAAATATAAACTTCCATAAAAGTTATGAAGCTGTGATTTGAAGTTTTCAGATTAAAAATAATTTTTCCCACTTCTGTTTTCTTCCTTCTCTTTAAAATTGTTATTATTTTTTTAAGTTGATGAGTTTTATAGTTCACTAAATGTGAATAGCTACTTATGGCCATTTTAAGAGATCCTGAATAGTAATTAGTATGCCATTTGGTTTTAATATAAACGGTATGTTCTCTTACATGTAAAAAGTCATTTTTGTATTGGTTTCAAAAAAAAAAAAAAAAAATGAGAGAGAGAGAATGAAAAGTGTAGAGAATATAGATAGAAACAAGTATTTCAGTTTTAATGCTGAAAGAAAAAAAGTTTCCCTTACCCAGAACATAAGCAGAAATAATAGTATTACAGTCAGGATAATTACATAAATTTAATACTATTATAGATAGTGATAGATACAAATAGATAATAATATCTTAATACTATTATCTTAGAACTGCTATCTTATTATTAGAGATAAAGAGTATTTACATGAAATTCAAATGCTTATGAAGTTTCATTAACAGATTTCTCATTTTATGAAACAGTCTAAGAAAAAATGTATAATTTAGAACTATGCATTTTATCATAAAAATATTAATAAAATTGCAATAGTATTTAATGAATTTATTTTTAAATGAATTTTTTTCTGTTATTAGATTTATCTGGGAAGTTTATTTAGACAAAAATGAATATGATCTTGCCAAGGAGTATTGCAAGGTAAATAAATAAAGTTAATACCTGAATATGTTTGATAGATAAATTTTGTATTAGAAAAAAAAAAAAAAAAAAAAAAAAAAAGAATAGTCTAAAATTAAGGTACTGAACATAGATAAAAAGAAGTGTTCATTCTGGTAAACTGGTTATTACTGTGTCAACATAAAAAATTACTTATAATGTTTTGAGATTTTCCTTATTTCAGTTTTTATTAATTTATTATTTAATAAATAATTGATTGTATAATGGACTTTTTTATTGAATTTCTCATTATAATCATTTTAACAAAGTATTATTAAAATTTGCTTTAAATATCTGCATATTTTAATCTCAGTCTTGTGAGTCATAGTAGTTAAATTGTTAAAATCGTTGGATACTTAAACCTTATGAATTAAAAAACTCATATAACGCATTTGGAATTTATATAATATATAGCATAACTATGATATAAAAACATTTTATTAAGCATTTATTCTTCAAGAAGAAATTTTTTATGATATCTTTTCTTTCCAGGATTTAAATATCATTAATGTTTCTAACATTAGATTTGACATTAGATAAATTCAGAGGTTGTACATAAAAATGGCAACACCAGACTTGAAAAAGACAATTTTCTTTTTGCTATTTATAAAGCAAAAATCTGTATAAAAAATATTAAGTATTGATGTCTTGCTTACCCTCTGAAAATTTTGTCTGAAGCATTTTAACTTGAGATTTGAGGGAGGGGAATGTTTGATGTGGAGAAAAAATAGGCAACTTGACAGAGTTCTGAATGAAGCTGTAAATTATTGATTGTATCAAAAGTTGTTATGTCTGAAATCTTGACAATGTGCGTTCATTGCAAAATGAAATGTATTAAATGGAAAAATAAAATTTGCTTGTGGTGGGTGATAGCATTAAAGAAGACTGCTACCTCGAAGTGGAAGATCAGTGCAACAAATGGGCTTACTGTGCAAAATATTTAATTTAAAAAAACAGTTCCAACTGAATTAATGCAAAGGAATTGTATAAGCAAAATAATTTGTAGCAGAATCGTCATTGTAGAATTTATTGTGTTACAGATGCATATCTTTCAACTTTGTGTAAGTAAAAATTCGAAGATTGTTTTTTGGGGGGAGGGAAACTTAAAAAGTGAAATGAAACTAATACATTTCTGAATTTTTAAAATGCTTACATAGGGGGAAACTTATCATGAAAAATGGAAATTAGAGAAGTTAAATTAATTTAAAAAATTGCACTAGCTTTTTTTACTTTTGTAACCAACAAGTCAGATCTTTGTTTTATAATAGTTATTGTCTTAATTAATTTTAAGAATAAAGATATTAAAAAAAATTGCTAAAATGAAAGGCAACAACATTGTAAAATAGGGTAAAATGAACATTTATTTAAAATAGGGTAAAATGAACATTTTTATGTTATTTTTTTACTTAAAAAAAAAAAACTATTTTTATTTTAATGATACAATGATAATATTTTTATGTATGTTTTAAATTTTGTCATGAAGTTCACAAACTGCCAAATTAAAGTTTTTGTAAGCAGGTGATTTTAAAATTTGTTATTAAATATTGTTAAGTTACCAAATTTAGCAACGTACAACAGAAGAATTCATTTCAATTATTAAATAATGAAGAATTTGTATGAATGTATTTTCTTTACATTTTGAAAAATGGCAGACCCTAGAGCCACCACATTTTGATCATTATTTTGAATTTGCAGCAAAGTGCAGCATATCATTATTATACATAAATATATAAAATGGATTGTTGATCTGTAAATTACTCAACTTTCTTACTATTCTCCAACTTGCCTGTAAAGAACTTTGGCAGAAGCTTGAAATATCTGTTGTTTGCTGCAATAGAGGATGGTAGAAGCTCCATAATACTTAAGGTGATTATAATATAGTTTTAGCACATGTTATTATCCTTAGGATAGGAAGTATGATTAGTGATGTGTGTGTAATTATGAGGATTTCTTCATGATGATGACTTTTTTCCTAATCATTCAGAATGATTATGGTACAGTTCATAGAGCAAGTAATGCCTATTCACGCTTTTAAAAGTCTGAGAATGACACCAAATACCATCTGTTTACCTGAAATTTCAACACATCTTTGAGCCAGTGTGGGTGTGTTAGGAAACCAGGTAAGTCATATAACTTTCTTCCAGCATAAGGCACTGAAACAGATTTTATTTGAAAGAGGGTGTGGCATACATTAGCCACTATTCAGAACTTAAATGCCTTCATTCCAAAGTTCCATTAAGTTCTTTTAACCGCTTCCCTTACAAATTTTTTTGAAAAAAACTTGCAAAAAATCATCACATTTTTTTAATTTTATTATTAAATACAACAAAACGAAACAAATCAAAATATGTAGGCTTTAAGTTGAATTTTTAATTTTTTGAAGGTGTAAAAGCATTTATTTTTAATATTAGTTTACTATCCCGAGTTATCTCAGGCAAACGAAAAAAAGTTAAATATTAGTCTTTGTATAATAGTTTTTGAAACAAGTGACAACACAGAGTGATAATTGACATTCGATGCTGGTATTTGGTCTCTTTTCTTACTGGATTACCGCTGGAATCTCTTCACGGGAGCACAGAGTACATCGTCTTGTTGGATTTCCCCCCTCTTCACAATCACTATCTGAAAAATCATTGCTTTCGCTGTCTTGCATCATTGCCACTATTTTATTTTTTTCCAATGCATGTATTCTTCTTCATACATTACTAATCCACAAGCCGACGTATATACTATACAATAGGGAAACACGTGACCAGTCCCTCCAAAAGAACCGCAACCAACAAAATTTGGCCAACTGCTGATCAAAGCTGAATATTTCCTTTCATTTCCTCTAGACCGAGTAAAACCATGATAAAACAAATCATACTAACAAATTCTGCTTCGCCCAAGTTTTCATGAGATAATAATTAACTGCAATATATACGAACCCGAGATGACTCGGGATAATCAGGCAAGCGATTAAATGTCCGACATGGCTAATTATTTGCATAAATCATGTTTTCAAAATATTTTCTACAATCCGTGTTCTTTTCTAAAATTCTGTAAAATGTTAATGATAAAGTTAATTTTATTGGTATGATGTTCTAATATTCTTTATAGGGAGATCCTGTAAAAATTGATAAAGTTATGTCTAAACAAGCTGATGATCTTTTCAAGAAAGAGAAGTGAGTTATTATTTAATATGAAAAATCTAAATTTTCAGAATTTTACCTAATTTATTTTGTAAGTAAAGAAGTTTAAAGTTTCGGCAAACACATTCCATCAAGTGGTATGAGTATAATATGATGCTGATGGAAATTTTTTCTATGAATCCTTTAGCCCCCCATTTCTTTTTGATATGTGTTATATTTAAAAATATTGCTTGTTATATATTCCATGTATTGTTAATTTTTATAAATTATATTATTTGTAGAAAAAACCAGTCTATTTTGAATATAGCATGTAATCAGTTTTCCCCCCTTATTATATTTGTGCTTTCATTCTTTTAAGTAATTTGAATTTCCTTTTGCTTTTTTTTAATCTTGTAAGTTATATCATTTTACTATGCTTGCAAAAACTAGCTGTGCTTAATTAAGAATCAGAAATATACCTATAACCTAGGTACTTCGGCCAAGAGCCATTATAAAAAAATTGTGAGAATAATAATGTTTCAAATTGGAGTTAAGGCATAAGATTAACTGTTGCCTCTGAGCAACAGTTTGAAATTAAAATTTGTGTAAAACTATAATTTACTATGTAATGTTGGTAGAAAAAATAAAATGTAAACATTGATTTTTGTCCCACAAAAGTGCCTGTAATAAAGTAAATAATTTTAGTTTTGTAAACCATAATTTCAGAATTTGTAAATGTTTTATAGATATTAAAAAAGGATGGTTCCAAGCCTAATGTTGATACAAATCTCAAAATCAAGTTTTGGTCAATACATATCTTAAAGTTTAACTAAAGTTTTGGTCAATACTTACCTTGCTGGTTTATTCATTTTAATTTTTTTTAAATGCATATTATTATATAAAAAAGTTATTTCTTTATTAATTAATAGCATTTGTTTATGATGTGGTTCTCTGGTGGGTAGATTCTATAATATTAGATACTCTAATGTTTTGTCATCTAATATATTAAAATTTTATATACTTAAAAATTATCTATGATGAAGCTAAGAAAGTATTTTTTCCTGTATAATATATATTGATTTTGTTTTTTAGCATGTTAATAATTATGTGAAATCCTGAGCTTACTGATGATCATGTGACAGAACAATCATACTCAAATCATTCATTCATGTTTTGTTTTATTTATATCAGAGTTTGATAAGATTTTATTTATCATATGCCATATAAGTATGTAATAGTTTTTTTAATTAGTAATCTTCATAATAATATATGTCACAGTTATCTTTTTCATTCCCTTTTTCCCTTGTTTTTTTTTAAATTAAATAAAATTTAATTACTTTTTTTATTATTTTGTGTGCTTAGTTTAAAAATGCATATTGGATTAATAAAAGTAATACAGTCAAAAGTCCCTAATCCAGACTCGTCGGGACTTCGATTCCGGATTATAGATCATCAGTTTAAATCTGGTAAGATGGCATGCAGAAATTATAAAATTAAAAATAGGAAAGCATAATTTATGAAATAAAGAGCAATTATGATCTAAAGGGTATCAAAATTTACAAAAAAAAAGCTTAATATTTATTTGTTTACTTTATTAAACATTTCTTTCAATGCGCGCATGCGTAAAGCATACATTATGCATAGTTGAAATTAGAAAATTGCAACCAGAAAACTATTTGATGTGTATTCGTGATATTTATAATGATGAGGAATTTGATTTAAATCATATCAAAGACGGAGTACATCGAGATGAAATACTACATTTAGTAAGGAATTATAAGCCGAATAAAATAAAAACATCTGCCCTGAAGATAAGGATAGTGCTGACAGATCAACTTCCGGTTCATTGCGCACCGCGACGTCCCCCCCACAGAGCAGCGTGAAATTGATAAACAGATTTCGGAATGGTTAGAGAAACAAAGGATATGCCTTTATCCATTTTTTTTTGCAGCAATTCCACTTTTTGTTTGATGGACATCGAAACGTGCTTTCTCTTTGTAGATCCTTTGGCAGCTCCAGAATCGGAAATTCTTTTTGACATAATCGAAAGTTCAAGCTTACTTTTATAAAATTGCTCTAACAGTCTGCAGAAATTAATAAGCCAGATCCAATTAGAAGATTAAGGAACAACGCAATCTTCAACATTAACTGAAATAGATAATTAGATAATTTTAGCTTAGCTTATACCATCCGTTATAAATTAAACGCGCATGCGTAAACGTATTATACGCATGCGTGAAGGTATTATGCGCAGGTGTAAAGGCATATGCGCATGCATTAACGCATGTGTAGAAAGTTTGTAGCTTTGAGGTCCAGATTAAAGACTTGACTGTATTAAATATTCTGTACACTAACAAAATATTCAAGAAATTATTTCCATATGAACTATATTAAGACTTGAAAGCTTTTCAGCAAATGTTCTACTAAAATTAAACATGCTGGAGTAGTTTAAGGGATTTGTGTGGCATCTTTGATGTAGCGTTAAAAAGTGTTTTGTTAACTAAAATAGTATAGTTACTATAGTGATAATTTCTTTAAGATGTTTGCCATTTTCACATTTCCTAGTCTGTATCTATTAATTTTCTCTAGTTGGCGGGTGGGAGATGAATCGAAGCAGCTTGTTGTCATTATATGCCTTTTTTGTTGTTTTAATTATGTTCAACTTTATAATTATTTCATTTTTTTGTTATATATAATGTAGTACTTGTGCTTTATTTCTAGATATGAAGAAAGTGCAGTAATATATGCTCAAACACACAGCTCATTTGAAGAAATTGCTTTAAAATTTTTAGTGGCTGAACAGGAGGCAGCTTTACGTAAATTTCTGCTGAAAAAGCTAGCAGGTCTTCGATCACAAGACAAAACCCAAATAACCATGATTGTTATGTGGCTGCTGGAAATATTTCTAAATGAACTCGGTGTTTTGAGAACAGCTGGAAAGCAAACAACACAAGAATATGTGAATTTACAAAAAGAATTTAGGTCTTTGCTGAAAGAATCCAGAATAAAGGTTATTTTCTTCATATAAATTTATGATATAATTCGACTGTCTTACTGGCTACCATGAACGCAAACACGCATGCGCTATTTGGACCGATTTATTCTCAAAATGGGGTGGAAGGAATCGGTGTAATCATGTCATAGGGATTTTTTCCGTTTTACTTTTTCCCTGTTTATTTCCACAACATTCAAAGCGCTCAGACATAAGAAGACAAAATTACTTTTGAGCAATCTAAGCTGATTTTCATTTATTATTAGCTGTTTTATTAAATTGTGTTTAATATTTAAGCATTTATGTATATATTCTTAAAAATACACGTTTTCTAAAATTAGTTTTGCAGTATAACATTATTTTTTTATAAAAAAAACATAATAAGTAATATTATTATAATTATTCAGTGTTATATTTTATTCATGATTTTCATTATTTTATTATTATTACAAGGAATTCTAATAATTTAATTATTATAATTAATTATAGTAATTATATGGCAATAATAATTATTATAATTGCATTATAATTGATAATTATTTATCTTTGATCTATGATTTATCTGCATTACTACACAGATAAAAAAATTTCCTATTAATTAATTATAATGATTATGCAGTGATAAATAATTATTATAATTATTGAGTAATTATAGTACTAATTATAATAACTATATTATAATAAATAAATATTACATATCTGCATTACTACACAGATAAAAAAATTTCCTATTAATTAATTATAATGATTATGCAGTGATAAATAATTATTATAATTATTGAGTAATTATAGTAATTATAATAACTATATTATAATAAATAAATATTACATCGCTTCGGTTTTTGCGCTGAAAGCTTTATGCAGTATTACATGTACTGGGGAGCTAAAAACGAAATTTCTTACCTCTGTACTTATTATTCTGTATCACAGTCACTACACATATCCAAGTTGTCTTCCTCTTCATCAGAGGAAATGATCAAAGATTCATATAAATCTTCAATCAAACCATCTTTTTCCCAGTAGTAGTTATGTAGAAAATCTACATGAGTGCAGTACTTCTTCCATTTTTCTATAGTTATGCTTTCAAGAGCTTCTTTTGTGATTCTTAATAATTTAGTCATTTCCATGTCTCCAGTTGTGTTGCAGTCGAACAAATTGCTTTATTTATTCGCATATGAATTCAATTGCATTAATGTCGCTGTGGTATGGGGGCAGACGTAGAGCCGTAAAACCATGTTTTTCGAGCATTGAATCAAATTTATATGACTTTTCTTTTAGGAGCATTTTGTTTCACAAGCTCCATTAACTCCACTTTCCGTAAAACTGGAGAGAACTGTACATTTTTGTTAAGTAACCAATGGATCAGTGTCAGCTCGTAATAAGCATTGTGGAACTGCAGCTCCCCCTGTTTCCACTTATTACTGTCTTTAATATTCAATATAGTGTGCCCTTTAGTCTTTAATTCTTCCTTTATACTTTTACAATACATAATTCGTAAGCTTAATTTCAGTAGCCATCCTCCACTTTATGAAAAACTGCGTGTTTCACAGTTCCAGCGATGGGATGTTTGGCTGTTCTGTGATTCAGAAAGACTAAATGTGCTTGCATTGCTTTCAATAAAGAAAAATTTCCTCAGTTGTCATCCAGAGATCAAGGAGAAAATTATTGATCTTTTTGCGCAAATTAAAACAAGAAGAATGGATTTTATTTTTAAGTGAATGGACAAAGATTGAACTGTAACAATTTTGGTTAAAGTAATTAAGAAATGTTTAAATTTTTTTTCTTGTAAGATTTCATGAAGTTTCAAAATATTTTTTTTATACATGTTTGTTTCCTTGTAGACAATTTTAAAACAAAGGTTAAATTTCTTTTGGAACAGCACCCCCACTAATTTTAGCCACGAGCTGCCACTGCAATGGATAATTTCTACTTTTTGGCTAGTTGGACATTTATTTACTTGAACAGTATGTTAGGAGGCATTGTCTAGAATCACTACAGTATTTAGTGGAAGATTTGGAATTAGTTTTTCGAAAGTCACTTTTCAAAAACAGTAGAATTCATTTGTCCGTGATAGTCCCTGGATGTGGTATTTGTTTTGTACACTAGCGATGTATCAGGTAAAAAATCCCGTGTCTCCTCCAGCACATAAAACTATAATTCTTTTCGATGCATTGCTGCTCTGCACGGCGCCAAAAACTGCTTCCGATTGCCAACACTTAATGTTATGTTGCTATCCAGACAGGTTTTGTCGAAGTAAATGAGAGGTTTTCTTTCATGATGAAATTGCCTCACTTTTCTAAGATACTGCATTATTCTTAACACAAAGTAGTTCTTTCAATTAAAACTTTTCTCTTGTTTTGGCTTTTTCTACATACAAATCCAATACTATGCAGTACATTTCTTAATGTTTCTCTTTTCTATTTAAAATAAATCTTTTCTCAAGCACAGGAAGTAATTTTGAAAGGGATGGAATTTTTTTTTTTTTCCTTAATATAAAATTCATGAACAAGTTCTTTGAATCACATCGCATTCAAAACCATCTAAACCAAACCTGTTTAATACTTTTTTGGGCTTGTTTTTTCCGGAGAATTAAAAACTGTTTCTTCCTCCCTTTCTGCTGTTGGCGAATTTTCTTTATTGTCGTCTGCGATACTCTTGCAATGCTGCTGGCTCTTTTCGTGGGCTATGAGATGGGAATGCTAAGTTTTCCATTCTTGACTTTGATGTCACAAAATGTAATGCCATTATGCAGCAATTTCTTAGTATCACTATGAAAAGCTTTGTTTTTACCAACAGAACTCATTTTAACAATAAAAACAAGCTATTCCTAACGTTTACACAAAAGATCACAATATTGACAAATGTTAAGTAAACAATCAACCAGGATCTAAATAAATCCCACGTTAAATGTGGTGGAAACCTATTGATAGGTTTTCTTTCTTTACGACAAAAAATACATCCACTAAAGTATATAGTTCCTTGATTTTAGTGACCTTATCTTTAAAAGTAAGCAATGAACTAAAAAGCATTGTTCATATAAAAGTAAGCATTGTTCATATAAAATTAATACATAATGAAAAAAATTTCAACGTTCTAGGTTTCTGGGCTGCAAACCAATTTGAATCTTAGCATTTATTTCTACAAATCTAAAAAAAGAAAGAAAAAAAAAACTAAAGGCGCAAAAGACAATTGATGCAACATCGTCACCCGAATGACATAAGAATTTTCCCTCCCTCAATGATATAAATTCCCTTTTATCGATGAAGAGAGAAGTTTCACGTGACCTCTCACCTCGCAGCACTTAACTGACGCCCCTTTTGGACGATTCTATGTGTTTTCGTGAAATGCCAACAGAGGCTTTGCAATAGACTGTCGAACAATAATAATTTGTAATGTGTGCATTCATATTGGATTTTAATTACCTTATTTTTAATATTATGATTAACTCTATCTATATACTTTGTTATTATTTTAATGCATTTCGGATTTCTCAAATAGCAAAATAAGAGCTGTCTGCTTCCCAACCCCAAAAATCTCAGAATTAATATATATATGTTTGTATTCCTATACAGCAAAATTATATATTACTAAAAATATATTTTATATTGTAGAAATATTGACAGATAGTAAGAAATTGGTTAGGAGGAAGCTAAATCACATTTACAACAGATTTAAGTGAAAGCATTTAGTATCAGTAAAGTTTTACAAAGAAAAACCAATGTAGTCCACAAATCTGTTGTAGGCTGAAACAGTTATCCTCAAGAAATTTATGTTACTAAAATATAGGGAGACGAATTTTGACACGAACCAATATTCATAATAGTGGTTAATATGCAAATACTAAAAATTCATTCCCCCCCCCCAATCTGTCCTCTAATGTTTACACTATCTTCCAAAACAAGGCATCAGTAGTACTATCAAGTGAATTATTTATGGTATGGTTATCTCAAATTATTTTAAAGTTTTCTTGTCTTTTAGATATCCCCATGAATTTCTTTCTCAGATATATTTTTCTAAATTGTTATGCTTTCTTTCATTCTGTTGTTGTAAATTTTGCCATGTATCATTTGCATTCAGACCATGAGATGCATCTGAGATTTATATAGATTTTTTAAATGAAAAGCTTGTAGCTTGTAGCCCAGCAAATAGCTGCAATAACTTGATGTATAATTTACACATCACTAATGTGTGTAGTAGGAATCTTTGAAGCTTGCTAAAAGTATCTGTGATTCTTAAAAGTTTTGAAAAATGTTTTATTATATATTTTAAATATAGAGCATTTCTATAATATGTAAACTTTTTCTAAAGTTTTTTGTGAAGTTTCTAAATTTTTTCTCTTATTTAATTTTGGCTGTATTTTTATGTAAACCATTATACAAGGCAAGAAAATGATTTTCAAGTTTGTAAATAACTTTGTAGCTGTTACATGAGTGATCAGTGTAATGCTTTTTTTAGGATTGTGTGTCTAATAACAGGAGTGCTGTTTACAGTTTAATGTCCAGTCATGGTGATGAAGAAAATTTAATATATTTCACTAATCTTATGAAAGGTTGGTTGAGGAATTTTAATATTTTTAAAATAGTACATTGATTAAAACTTTTTTTTGTAAAATTAAATTAAATTCTGTTGTCATTTTAGATTTTGAAAAAGTAATACAGTATCACCTACAGCATAAAAATTACAGAGCAGCATTAGGAGTTCTTAATGAGCATGTACGTATGTACGTAAATAAATTCATTTCCTAAAGTGTGATTTCTCATGTTTAGGGGCAGAAACATTGCTGTATTATGTCTAAATGTTGGATTAATGAAAAAATGTTTCTGTGTTGTTGACTTCAGTATTTAAATATATCGTGGATATTTTTATTTTTTCAAATTCCTGAAATCTTAGGACAAAATTAGAAAACTGAAAACTTACTTAATTATATTAGTTACTTTTATTTCTCATCTTGAGTTTTATGGTATAGTACTCTACGTTGAAGTACAAGGTATGTGAATAAACATTTTGAGATTGTAATATATCAGGCATGTCCAAAGGTTTTTGTATTTTCTTACTTTTGAATTGGAAACTGTTTGCATTTTTTCATTAGTAAATGGCTAGGCAGTATGGAAGTTCCCAGAGTTCTGCTTACTAATTGCTGTTGGTATAGGAATCGCACATTGCTTCTCAGTTTTAAATAAGACCATACATATATATACGCAGTGAAAATCGTTTAACACGAAACTGAGGGGACTGAAATATTTTTTCGTGTTAAAGGATATTGCAAAAAAATCATATATTCAACAAAATTAAGTTTATTAGAGTGCATTTTATTTACATAAATATGTATATAGCATGTATTTAATAAAAATTAATAAAATAAAAACATCCAGAAATTAATACAAATTTTTCAAGTTTTTTGAAAAACAAAACATTTTATTGAGGTTTCGAAAAAAAAAATCTGATATTTTTCTTTGCATTGTCTTTTCTAGCATCAAATTGTTTGATGTTGTCCATTTTGTTACTCATTTCTCCACTGGAAAGTATGTCTAAATAACTGCGCATACTTTTCATGATGTTCCTCTTTTTGGATGACATGAGAACAGGAGCTGCGTTATTCATTTAATTTTTGTCATCGGAATCTGCATCAATGATATTTTCTGAGCTTTGAAGAAACTCCAAACTGTCTTTGTCTGCCATAATTGGGCTGTACCGTGACCTTCGAGAGGGAGAAGGCCAAGACACTTTGTAAACATGGCAGAGTTCTTCCATCTGATGTTATCGTTGGAAAGTCATCTGGATTTTTAAATTTTCATCGGAAATATAACTTGTTGCTTATCTTGTTGCTTAGTTAATTAAAATATCTGAAAGAAAGGGAGCTTTATATACATTATTTTCACTTTTTAGGCTTTTTACAGATATTTTAATTAACTTTCTGCATAAATATAATTGAAAGAACCGAACAAACGAACATTTTACAAAAATTTAAACGCTGATTGAAAATTGCCACTGTCATGATAAATTGAGAAGAAGTTCTTAAGATACTAATTAATATTTTACCTAGGCTCAAATATTAATTTATTTGCGTTTCAGAGTAAAATATATAACCATCAACTTCTATATCTCCAATGTATGTAAATGAAATACTATATAAATTTTCATACAAGAAACATAACTAAATCTTATAACAAAAAAGTCTTCCAACATTCATAATTGAAATGAGAGAATCTAATAAACAACATACACAACTGGCAATGTTAAAAAAAAAAACACAGAAACTGTGTTTTTTCTTAAGTGTTTGAAAGTTACCAAAAAAAAGTAACAGAACTACCTACTATTTCCAATTAATAAAAAATCATGTAGTACTTTTTAAATAGCAAGCTTTTAAAAGTACAATAATTAGTAGCAATGCTGATAATTTTTAACATAATTTCTTTCGATCATATGTAGATATATATACAGTCAAAAGTCTTTAATCCGGACGTCCATAATCCGGAATGATCTATAATCCGGACCTCAAAACTACAAACTTTCTGCGCATGCGTAAACGCATAATGTGTTTACACATGCGCATATACGTTTAATGTATAACAGACGGTATAAGCTAAGCTAAAATTTATCTAATTATCTATTTCAATTAATGTTGCATATTGGATTGATTGCAGGGGATGGACGCGCGCAATGAACTGGAAGTTGATCTGTCAGCACTATCCTTATCTTCAGGGCAGATGTTTTTTATTTTATTCGGCTTATAATTCCTTACTAAATGTAGTATTTCATCTCGATGTACTCCGTCTTTGATATGATTTAAATCAAATTCCTCGTCATTATAAATATTACTACACATCAAATAGTTTTCTGGTTGTAATTTTCTAATTTCAACTATGTGTAATGTATGCTTTACACATGTGCGCGCTAAAAGAAATGTTTAATAAAGTAAACAAATAAATATTAAGCTTTTTTTTTTTTTTTTTTTTGTAAATTTTGATACCCTTTAGATCATAATTGCTCTTTATTTCATAAATTACGGTTTCCTATTTTTAATTTTATAATTTCTGCATGCCATCTTACCAGATTTAAATTGGTGATATATAATCCGAAAAAAACTGATAATCTGGAATCGCCGAAGTCCCAACGAGTACGGATTAAAGACTTTTGACTGTATATATATATACACTTGTTTTAAACTATGGCAGATTCTCACAACCATTTTTTTCAATTTTTTCAAATCAATAACATTCCTTTGGATACTGCGCAGAAAAGATTTGAATAATATACACAATAATAAGCACACAACAAAATGTTTTTTCCCATTTATCATGAATTTTATTCTATCACAAGCATGTACAAAAATTAACAATGAAAATGGAATGTATTCAAATGTAATAATTAAAAAACATAACTTGCAACATTCATATTCATACCAAGAGATATATTAAAATTCCTAAGAGAAAAATAGCAGAACTGCAATTTGCACTTAATGTAAAATTTAAGTTTTTTAAAATATTATATGATTGAAAATGTAATAACTTATGAATTACAATATTTAGTAGTAATGCTGATGTTTCTTAACACCGTTTCTTTCAATCATATGCTGGTGTATATACATATTTTTAGCTTCTAAATTTTAGGATAATGGGAATTATGATAATTATTTATATGCTTTTTAAAATCAATAACTTTCTTTGCATATTACATGGAAGAGCTTTGAATAATATAGACAATAACTTACTATGTGATTTGTTCCGTTCTACTTCTCCTGACTGCCGGTGGGTTTTCGGGCATGTACATTGGACAGCCGTTAAATGTGCATGGATATGCATCATCTTTTAACATTGGACGTTATCTTGGAGTGTCATGGCCTTCTCCCTCTCAAAGGTCACGGCTGTACACACATTATCATCATCTACTGCAACGAATTCTCCGTATGATACAGTGGGACAATCCAATAATACAGAAACTTTCTCAAACATTTCATTAAGTGCTGGCTCAGTTTCAATATCATCCTCCTCCATTTCTTTTGGCATGAACCAAACTTACTGATTTTTACACACGCTGCTATGTACTCATCACTGAATTGCAAAGTCAACTGATGATATATGAGATGTTTCTGTGTGGCATTTGTAGGGGTGGAAGGTGAAATAGCCTAGATTAACAAAATTGATTCGTGTCACAGGCTATTTCGAGGGTATTTCTAAGCCAAGTTAGCCAGATCAGGTGAAGAAGTCACAGTAGCAGGTTCTCGCGCATGGCCCTACCCTGTGTGTAGTTGCAGTGAAATAGTTTTCTGCATATCTTTGTATGTGCTAGCATAATCTGAAGATAAATTTTGAATGTGGAGCTTTCATGGAGAATCAGTAGTAAAACATAGCAGCAATTAAATAATAATTATGTGAAGTTGTAGGCAATGGTAGAACAATCAAGTTAGCCTCCTTTCTACAAATTATGCGAAGCCACCTATCTTTCATTTCTCAACCCTCTTAAATCTCACTTGCGCTGTATTTTGTTCATTCCCAGAAGGGAAATCTTTTCGTGTGAAGTGTTTTTTGTTTCATGGTAAATGAAAAAAAAAATGCACGAATATACATAGTAGTTTGTCGGGACATTGTATTATTTCGTGTTAGCCGATATTTTTTTTTCGCGTTAAACGTATTTCACTGTATATATATAATAAAATAAAAATCAAATCGGAAGGCTTTCATATTTTATATTACGCCCAAAGGGGCATTTTTTTTAACGTTTTGTGTGTTACCTTTGTTTATTAAATACCATGTTCAACCACATAAAATTCAATTCAGCAGAAATATCACAAAATATATAAAAACAGCATATCTTTAGAATTTCCGACAGATGACCTCACACGCTGAAGATAAAAGTATTATTTTCTGTGCAATGTTGCAGAAGATGAGAACAGGAGGATTACATTATTCAAAATTTGATGGCTCTAGGTACTGCTGTTTTTTTCACAGTGTGAGAAAGATACATGCATTCATGCAGATTCTTCGTTATTTAATTTCCTTAAATATAATAGAGGGCGATAATATTTGGTGGCAATGGTTTGAAAAGTGAAACAGACATTTATAGTGAAACAAGGCAAAATGCCATTTTGAAACTAGTAGTCCTTTTGTGTTACTGACCCTTTGGGCTAAAAATCCTAAAACAGCTTTTCAGACATTTTTTTCCCATGAGTAGTAGTGAATGATGATGGCATGTGATAGTGTTTTAACACAGTACATATGCTAATAATGGTGAGATGCAGCTCAAAAATTAAAATAATCAGGAATACCTCAAGAATCGACAGGTGAAGACCTGTTAAATGCCACTGAAAGTAATAAGAAGATTATTGGCACAGAATTTCTAGAAAAATGTCTTGTTTATAAGATAACTTTGGAGAAGCAGATTTATACTTTAGACCTGTGGTAAATTTGGACACTTGGTAGGTACCACATAGTTTATTCAAAGGAGACATGTAGATGAATATGAACTGATGTGTTTCAAACATTGCCGAGCAACTTCAAAGTCATAATCCACTAAAAGCACAGGAAAGACTTCCTAACAGCAGCAAGGATTCTGTTTAGCAGGAACAATTCTTGCTTGAATTCAGCACATTGAAGTTAATTAGCTACAGTATTTTATTTTTACATAATGCAGATTTACATAAACTTCTCAATTGGACGAATTATTGCGATGGAAGACAAGAAGAAATAAGATAGTATAAAAATTTACTCATAATAATTTAATTGCCATTATTTTTCCTGATTTTAATCATTCAAGGGGAAAGAAATAAATTTCTTTATTCATTAGATACTATATCTCGGTTTTAAATAGAGAAGGCAAGTAGAAATATTTTTTTAAATATGTGATATGACGTTTTTGTTCTTTCAGATTTTCATTAAGTTTTTTGTTATCAAATATTTATTTATTGTAACTTTATTTAAAAAAATATTTTTATTTTAGAGCCGTCCAGAATTATTTTATCAATTTTCTCCTGCTTTAATGCAAACTAATCCCAAAGAAATTGTTGATGCTTGGATAGCCCAAGACTATAGGTTAAATCCTGTCCAGTTAATTCCAGCTTTAGTTCAGTATGATAGCAGTAAAGATCCTAGACAGGTAACTATTTAGCATAAATTTATTCATCATTATTAGGTTAATAACAAATATAAATTTATTAATCATCAACATCATTCGTTATTGTCTTTACTTTCCTTATATAAAGCTGAGTTTTTTAGGTGGGGGTTATTAATCAGCATTTTATATATTTCTAATTTGATAGTACTTTGGAAATTCAAAATGAACCTTTGAAAGGTCATTTCAATATCAACAAAAAAATCATTTGCATCTGAGACTTTATATTAGCAGTTAAAATATTAGAAGGTACCAAATGTTAATACATTTTGGAACACGTAAAATAGCATATATTTTCTGTATGTATTTTTTTTTTTTTTTTTTAAGTGATTTGTTTGCATTTTGTGAGGGATTCTAATTGCAATCTTCAATATTTTCAGAGATAAAGCAATTATGACTATTATTTTAATAGTTTATGCTAAATTACACTAAATACTTTCTCCTTCATATCTCAAATCATAATTATTACAATTTAAACTGTCAGCAATTTATTTTGCATTTGCTATACAGTCAATATTTTACATACATACAGGGTGTCTGTAATTAAACTTGAAATTTGCAAGCAGTCTGTAACAAAAACTATACAGCGGAATTGCATGAAAATCGGGTAATGGCAGAATGAAATTATGGGAATTTTATCAAGGAGGAAAAAAACCAATGAACTTCAAAAACCTCTTCTAGGTGGCATATCATAGCTTTATTAAGAACATTAATGTACAAAACATGCTCAATATGATGTTCACCATCCTCTGCTACCATCTGGAAGAGTAAAATCACATGTTCGACTGTTGAAAGCAGCATGAATTGGAGAAAGTTACGCATATGCCATTGTATGCTTTCTTTAAGTTTGAACAGAGATGTGATTGGAACATGATAGACTATGGTCTTGGAGTATCCCCACAGCCAAACGTCACAAGGATTCAAGTCGGGGATATCTAGGAGGCTAAGCTGAAGGAAATTGCCGGCTGATGATTTTACTATCACCGAAATGGCGGTGGAGCACTTGTTTCGCAAAACAAGTGATGTATGGAGGAGCACCTTCCTGCGTAAACACTGTGGTTATATCACATCGACTTGCCTGAAGAGCCGGAATAACGGATTGCTCTAATAATGAAGCGTATCGTTGACCGATGATGGTGCATGTCACAAGCTCTGCAGCTCTATGCTCTTTAAAAAAAATTGGACCCACAATGAAGATTGCAGTAAAGCTGCACCAAACCATTACATGCGAAGGAGCTCAACTCATGCAAGAAATCGCAGCACAAAAGTTTGTCACCTGTTCAGATCAACTGGTAAGAGCTGTTGCACTAGCGACAGTTTATAGGGCTAGTTGCGCAAGACCTTTTGAAGAAGCTTATGAACACTGGAACATGGTTTTTCAATAGATACTGCAGTATGCCAAACACTAGTGCAACCAATGGATTGCGATCTGTCCTTCTCCATGTGTATCATTACATTATCCACTGCGTGTGCTGCAACACACTTTCAACCCCTTCCTGGCTGAATCCCCAATGTTCCCATTGCTTCAAATTTTCTAATCATGTTTGTTAGTCTTTGACTAGTGAGTGGACCTTTTTGTGACCGTTTCAAAGACCGAAATTTCCGCAAAGCCTCGGTGCAGAGTCTCCATTTTGGTAAAACAATTTTACCATTAAAACATGTTCCCAAAAAGTCAAGGTCATCTTTCTTGACTTGGAAATGAGTATGACTGCAGTTCGCCTCTTGCAGCTTTATAGGGTTGCTGTGTGTGCACAAGATTACTCTGGTTCCGACATTTGCATATACCAATAGCTTACATTGCACAACACCATCTAGTCGTGGTTTTTGAAACTAATTGGTTCACCCCCTCCCCTTGATAAAATTCCCATCATTTCATTCTGCCAATACCCAATTTTCATGCAATTCTGCTGCATAGTTTTTTGCTACAGACTGCTCACAAATTTCAAGTTTAATTATGGACACCCTGTATTTTGTTATATCAGTTAATAGACATATACATATTTTACTATATCAGTTAATAGTCATAGAATTTCAATAAAGTCTGAATATATTTTAGGAAGAAATTATGAATTTCTCATGTATATATGTATTTTTCATACATATATATATATATATATCAAGCAAGGTAGTAATTATAATTTAAAAAAAAAAAAAATTTGGTCCAGAAAACAACCTGCGCAATATGCTGCAAAGTAAGTAAAATATAAAAATTGTAGTAAGCTCGCCTAAAAGTTACCAAGAGCTGCTGCTCAAAAAAGTTCAACACGTTTTAAAAAATTAATACATATGAAAATCAAACCATTAAACATGTAAAACATTAAAAAAACAGAATCAGATAAAAAAATAAGCGGAAAATGGTAAATTAGCCCAATTCGACTTCCAAACTGGCTTTTAAAGGGAAATTTCATTTATTTGAATGTCGAATCAAGCTAACCCCATTACGTGTTTCGCCGACCGAAACAGACAATTGAAACTTTTTCTCTACAAAAATTTTTAAAATTTAGACAAAGTGTCTTGGAAATTTTAATAGTCTCAATTCTCGTTCCAATTTCCCGACGCGTCTGCACAGAATGACACATTAAGGTGTTAAAATATGTTAAACAATACCTAAACTATATATATATATATATGTGTGTGAATTTTTCATAACTGTGACAAAACATTTACATGTACACATTTTTTTTAAATTAACATTAATTTTGTTAAAATTTAAAAAACTGTCATTCTTGAACATACCTTTCTGATTTTGTTTTATTATTATTTATATATATTTGCAATTAAATACAAGTAATTTATAGGGAAGTGAAGCTATAAGGTATTTGGAGTATTGTGTTAATAAAATGAGAGTGAAGGATCAAGCCATACATAATTATCTACTAACACTTTATGCAAGACTTCAAGAAAAAGATAAACTCATGACATATTTACAGCAGCAGGTATGTTTTGTCTTAATTAGAAAGTTATTTTCTCATTTTGAAATGACTGGATATTAGCATTTAAAAAATTCTTTTTTAATCATAAAAGCCAATATAGTATTATTTTTTAAATAAAAGGTATTAATTGTTTTCCAAGCTTTATTAAGGATGTAATGTATGATCCTGAGCATTGGGAAGTAATTATATACAGCAATAAATAATTTATATATAACAATAAATAACTTAATGGGTGATATACCATTAAGAAGAGTTCTAATTACTCATGCTGGAACAATATATCATAGGAAAAGTATTCTAGAATTTTTTATAACTTTGATATTGAATTTTTTTAATAATGATGGTATCATTTTCTATTTCACACCTGTAAAATTTGTCAGGATTGAACCTTTTTTAATTTTATTTTTTTTAAAGCAGAGAAAACTTTTTTTTTTTTTTTTTTCCCAAATTACAGATGGATATTTAGCAAGAGATATAGTTTGTACAGTATAAGATATGAACAATATTGAAAAATTATGATTCATTTTGCTCTGTATTAAATACAAAAGCAATAATTAAAAAAAAAAAAAAAAAAAAAAAAAAAAAAAAAAGGAAAAAAAAAAATAATGGTTTCAAGTTTTAATGTCACCCAGAAGGGCTTTCTTAAAGTTTAATATGGCTTATCAGTAAAGATTATGAATCGAGATGACCCAGGTGGAACAGCAAAACCTTTTAACATGGGAATGTTATATATCATTCTGTACATTTTAAAAGTAAAAAATATGTACATTTTTTAACTATATATATCATGAATTACACTCATGTCCATAAATTAAGGATAATTCGGAGTCACGCAGAAATGGAACTCTAAAATAAATATATCACCTGTAAAATCACTACACACATCTTCAAGAATCATATGCAAATTTCAGGAAGTAACCAGATGACACCGATGGTACGTCACAATGACGAGAGTGTAAGAGAGTGATATATAAGGAATACAGGCAAAGAAGTAAAATTGTTTGCAGGCGCTTTATAAGCATTTCAGTGCAATAACCGAATAGTTATGACACAAAGGACGCATTTGGATGATTTTTTACGTGGTAGAATTATCGGCCGTCTGGAATGTGGGCGTACCCAACTGGAAGTATCAGACGAACTTGGAATTGCCCAGAGTGTCATCTCCAGGCTTTGGCAACGATTCCAAGATGATGGTAATGTGAGTAGACGTTACAGCACAGGTCGCCCCAGAGTTACAACGCCGAATGAGGACCGGTATTTGGCAGTTACTGCCAAAAGAAGTAGGCAGAGCACAGCCTCAGACCTGTCTCGTCAGCTCTCTTCAGCCACTGGTACGACAATTTCACGGCAGACCGTGTACAGACACTTAGGGCAGATTGGTCTATGTGCTCGTAGACCTGTCAGATGAGTTCCACTTACTGCAACTCACTGTCGCATGCGGTTAGCCTGGAGTAGAGAGCATGCATTGTGGACACTGCAACAGTGGGCTTGTGTGTTGTTTTCCGACAAGTCCAGGTTTAGCTTGCAGTCTTATTCTCGCCGAACTTTCATATGGAGAGCTCCAGGTAGCCATTACCACCAAGAAAACATCATTGAACGACACCGTTACGATGGTGCAGGATTTCTCGTTTGGGGTGGAATTATTCTGGGTTCCAGAACTGACCTGCAAGTTCAAATTGGAACCATGACAAGCCAAATCTATCGGGACGTCATTCTGGAACAACATATACGTTTGTTTCGGGGCGCCATGGGCACATAATTGTGTTTATGGATGACGACGCCCGTCCTCACCGTGCAAACATCGCCTTCAATCGGAGGATATCACCTGTATGAACTGGCCAGCACTCTCACCGAACTTGAATCCAGTAGAGCACGTGTGGGACATGCTTGGCTGATGAGTTGCAGTTGTCAACCTCCTCCTACATGTCTACCGGAACTTCGGAGAGCATTGCTTTTTGAGTGGTGCAATATCCCCCAAGATCAGATCGATAATTTGATACTCAGCATGCCTAGGCGTTGTACGGACTGTATTGCATCGTCTGGGAGACATGCAATGTATTAACAATCATACCAACCATGTAATATTGTTTTTTTGTAAATAGTTTTTTTTTTTTTTTTTTTTTTTTTTTTTGTAATTTCCTCCAGGGAGAAAAAAATCACTAATTTTTCTAATAATATCAAATGTATAGCATCTTTTTTTGTTCTTTACCTTTTGTTTAATAAATAAGCTTTACAAATAAGTCAAATTTGTTTTGCTTCTAACTCTTCCTTTGCCTGATTTTGCATTATCCTTAATTTATGGACATGAGTGTAAATGCATTTTTTTTAAAATCAATCAGATTAAAAAGTAAAAAATAATATTCTTGAGAACTGCATCTATTATTTTTAATAGCTTAGTTTGTTAATCAGTTAATCAATTTTTCTAATAATATCAAATGTATAGCATCTTTTTTTGTTCTTTACCTTTTGTTTAATAAATAAGCTTTACAAATAAGTCAAATTTGTTTTGCTTCTAACTCTTCCTTTGCCTGATTTTGCATTATCCTTAATTTATGGACATGAGTGTAAATGCATTTTTTTTTAAATCAATCAGATTAAAAAGTAAAAAATAATATTCTTGAGAACTGCATCTATTATTTTTAATAGCTTAGTTTGTTAATCAGTAGCAGGCAGATTAAATTTGTAAGATAAATATCTTACATTTTGCCAAATGGTGACAACTGAAATGAAAAGCTAAACAATGCATTTATAGTGAATGCAAAATCATGTTTCAAGATTAATAGCCCTTTTGGGCAAAACGTGTTTGTGACTATTGCATTCTTCATTCTTTAAATTATTTGCCTATGTAGCCCCTGTCATTACAGAAGAATTCGCCATAAGCGATAGAAATTTTTATATTCATCTTTCATTGAAGTGAGTCATCTATCCATTCAGCTGATGTTATTCTTCACTGTTTGTTTCTTCATTGTTAAATTATTGTTCAGCAAGCAATAACTTCAAACACAACTATAGTTAAATTTCATTTAGGGTAAAATCTGGGTTGTACAGATAATCGTTTTTGTTTTCTTTAATCACTGTTTTCTTTCCTTTTTTTGTTCTAGATGTTTGCCTCCTGTCATTTCAGACAGTTTTGCAGCACAAATGTTTGTTTAACCGCTGTTGAGTCCATATTTGACGAGGATAAGTACAAGAAAGGGTAAATGATTGCATGGTGCCATGTATTTTCAGCTACATGTAGGATGAGCTTTTTTTTTTTCCCAGCAGTCTTTTAGTGGCATTTCTGGCCTATAGAAAAAATGCTACATTTATTTTCTGTCAAATGATGTTAATGATAGTACAGATTTGAGCAGTAGTATACGATTAAATTTAAACATGAAGCAGAAGCACACCATGAGTATATGTACTATGTCTGTTATGCCAATTTACTTAACAAAAATGTCTGACTTCTGAGTTTTATCATTTTGCCTCTAGATGAGAAAATAAAAATTCCACCTAGTCCAAAGGTATCTTGCCTGAGATCTTAGTTGAAATCACTTACTTGTAGAAAAACTCAAAAACAGTGCTTAAAAAATGGGTCTTATACTATTTTGGCTTTGGCATTTTATTTGCAAATCTGCATGAATGTTTTTGCTTAAACATTTCAAAGTCTTAGAATATTATGAAAATATTTTTTTTAATTTTTCAGAAAAGTGGAAATACTGTCATTTAATTTCTGAGTTCTGTTGAAATTATTTGCATATGCAGTTTATTGCATAGCATTTTGTATAAAACATGCTGCGTAACAGAAGTTAATTTCTCAACATGAGTCACACTTAGCAAAATTAGGCTAAAATACTTAGCTGATGTTTACCGTTAAACTTAATGCCTCAAAATTTAAATAATCATTATCATTTATAGTATTCATTGTTTCTTTCTTATATTGTTACTTTGTTTTATAATTCAGTGTATCTGTTCACAAAGAAACAATATTTAAAATTTACTAATGTTTTATTCTGTATAATATATTATTAATTTTCTTTCTTATCTATCATTATCTATCATTAATGTTTGACATTACCTTCTCATTTGTGAAATTTTTTCTTATTTATTTTAGCACGACTAGCTGTAAAATGTTTAATGATTTTATGTATCATAATTTATTTTGTTAGTAATATCATATATATTTATTTTAATAAATCAAACTGTATTGAGGAATTTTTTTCTTTTTTTGTGTGTATGTATACTTATTTCTTGTTTTCAGGATGAAATTGATGTTCCATATGATCAGAAATATGCATTGCGTCTATGCTCTGAGCTTCAGGGATTTGAACGAGCATGTGTCCACATATACACAACAATGGGGCTTTATGAAGAAGCTGTAGATTTAGCACTTAAGGTTTGTGCATTAAAAATTTCCTTTAAGTGTTCCTTTTTGTTGTATTAAAGTAATCTAAAGTATAATTTATATGTAGGTTGATGTTGAGTTAGGAAAGCAGAATGCCTGTCGTCCAGAAGATAATGATGATTTAAAGAAAAAACTTTGGTTAAAAATTGGTAATTATTTTTAATAATGTTTATTATTAATATTCATTCTGTATAGTTATTTAATTTTTAAAAAATACTGTATGTATTAAAATATTGTATTGTTTTCTAAGAACTTTAGCTTTAATTGAGTATTATATAATAAAGATTTTAAATAGTATAAATGCTTCAACTTTAAATCATCTATAATGTAGTCATATATCTTAATAGATCTATCTGAAATGTGAGGAAATTCAAATATGATCAAGGTGAGTGGAATGATTTAAAAAGTGAAATCATTGTACATATGCAATGTGTTTATTGAAAGCAATCCCCTTGTACTGCAGTATTATCTTTCCAGCATTCTGGGAGGATCTTTATCCTCTCTTAAAAAGCGTTTGGTTTGATATGAATTCAATCTTGAATTACTATTATGACACTAGGAAACACTACTTCAGCTATAATTTGGATTCTAATGGGGATGTATCAAGATGTCCAACAGTCTGTATGTGATAGACATTCTTCTGCATATTGTATGTGAAGCTGTTCAGATTTTGGTAGTTTGAGATATCTCCTTCCTCTAGAAATTTACTCATAATCCTTTATTTCTTGAATGAGGCATTTTTTGCTTTTTTATCATTCACAGGTATCATATGCCACTGACAAAACTTCCATTCCGTGGTAAGCAACATAAAATGATTGGCATATATAGGGTTATTTACTGTATCATAGGAATCACTGCATGAAAATTTCAATAATCTGAGACATAACTGAATGTTTTAATATAATGAATTTTATTCTGAAATAGGTAGTGCTTATAATAAACATCCGTCGTGTTTAGAAAGGAAAATTTTTCAGTTAAATATTGGAATTTTAAAAGGAATTACCAGAAGTAGTGGATGTTGTTTATTGTTTAGAATTTTAGTTTTATTATGAAGAAGATTAAAAAAGTAGTTTAGATTAAAATAGTTCAATAGGTCATGGGTCTGAAAAGAAAATTATTCATTCCTAGCTTCAAATTTTGGAAGAGCTGAGATTTATATTCAGTTCAGTTCATTAAAGCAGCCAACTGAATGGAATTTTTATTGTTTTCATCATGTGAAATGTTAATGTTAGCTACTTTCTCTTAAAAGTCCTTCAGAAGCTTATTAGCTTATTATTTAATTAATTAGTTAATTATCACAATTTAGTTAATTAGTTTGCCTAAATAATTGATAGTTAAAACTGAACTTTAATTATATTACAAAAGCATCCATTTTTTCATAAATTTGTCTTCCTTTATTACCAACCAAAAGGCAGTTTTTGGGGAGGAGAAAGCATTATTATAATTAATCAAAATGGTAATATAATAATAAAAATTGCATAATAATAATTGAGTACTTAATGATAGTAATTATTCATCATTATAACTCATTTAAATTTTGAGGACTCTCATATTTCTAAAAATACTTAAATGATTAAATAAGTCCAGAAAATGAAGTACAATGTAATCAATACTTAATACAAATTGTGATCCACATAATCAGCAAATCAGCTTAGATTATTAAAAAGTAATCATCTGTCTCCTTAACAACTGTGTTCCTTAAATGGTGTGAAACTACCTTAGTTCCTAAATAAATCAATCTGAATTGTGTGTTCATGGTTGCACATGTTGTGGTTAAAAGTATGCCATTAAAATTGAGTTTCAGATTGTAAATCTAGATTATAAAATTGATTTGTTTTAAATAATAAAGGCTAGTGAGATTTACTAGCAGTATTGTGTATTAGCCTTTATATGTACTTTTTTAGATGTTTTTAATGCAATAACTAAGATCCTGTCTGTACAAAATAATGTGTAGTCATAGTAGATTATATATTAATTTAGTTTTATTAATTTAGCTTACTGATTTATTATCTAAATACATTGGCTACCAATTACGTGCTAGCCGATGTGGAGGTATTGTCTAACAGCCAGTCAACGCCAGTGCATGTTTTTTTTTGTTTGTTTGTTTGTTTGTTTGTTTTGTTTTGTTTTGTTAGTTGGCTCTCAGTGAAGTTTTGGATACCTACCCTGGATGCAAATGTATTAATTTTAGATTATTTGACTAGAAATATGTATGCTTAGTTAATTTTCATTGTAGGTTTCATAGATAACTGAAGAATGTATTATGTATAATTATTTATACATTATGTGTTTTTTGTTCTTAATTTTAGCAAAACATGTGGTGAAAGAGAAAAATGATATAAAAAGAGCTATGGAGTTTCTTCAGGAATGCGATTTAATAAAGATTGAAGATATTTTACCCTTTTTCCCAGATTTTGTGACGATAGATCATTTCAAGGTAGTGTATCAATAAATATCCATGTTCTGGATGTCTGAAATGTATAAATTTCTCTTAAATTACATATTTGGTGTGCACATCATAGAAATATAATGAGATGGTGCTAATTTATTTAAGTACTTTTAAAAAAATAGGTTATTTATTTTCTCAGTAGCAAGGGTAGGTTATATTTGCTATTGGCAAGAGAAATAAATAAATTTTTGATGGCTAATCACAGCTGGACACTTAATCATAATTTTCATTTTTGATCTACAAAAAAATATATGTAGAGCTTCTTCAGTTAGTGAACTGGATTTCTTTGAATTCTCACATTAATGCCAATTTTTGTACTTTAGTTAATGAATTAATTTTTCAATGCTTTCAAAATTCTAATATCTTAGCTTTTCCACATTTTATTATTATTTTCCTTGATAGATCATGTTATATTTATTTTTGCTTGGCTTCATCCATTTCTTTCCATGTAAAATTGTTTCATTCCTATGTTCCATTGATCTCAAAATTGATTTGAAAACCTTCACCAAAATGAGGTTGTTTTTCTGTCCAATTTTAACATTTACTCTCTTTTTTTAGCATTAAATAAAATAAGTAAAGACTAAAAATGTGGTACTTGTCCATAAACCTTCTTGTTATGTACCCCTGAAAACAATTTTTCATCAGATAAATATAAAAAAAAAATTTAAAAAAACATTGTCACTTCCCCCCTCTTTGTTTACATGTATGCATTATTAGCTAAACGTGCTATCAACTAAATGTGTTGTTGACTAAATGTCCTGTCTGTTAAATGTCCATATCAGTAAATGTCCACAGCTAATGTTTGTGTTGGCTAAATGTCTCATTGGCTAAGTGTCGCAGACTCCTTCAAGAGAGATCAATGAAAATATTTATGTAAGTTAAGAATCCTTCTATACTATGATAACTATGAATGCTTATGTGATTCAGTCTTGTATCTGTCTCCCTTTCTTTTATAGGATGCTATATGTTCTTCCCTGCAAGAATATAATCAACATATTGAAGGTTTGAAGGAAGAAATGGAAGTTGCAACTCAGAATACTCAGGAAATCAGAGCTGAAACTCAAACATTTAGAAACAAGTAAAAAATACTTATATATCCTCAGCTCTCAATTCCAAATATCCAAATATTTCTTTTTGGCTGGAGGGAGAACAGTTTCATTAAATGAATTATGATTTGTAAAGCACAAATTTCAGCTGTAATAGCAGGATCTACTATTAAAATGCTTATAACTTTTTTTTAAATCTGTGATCATAAAATTGTGAATATTACTGTTCATCAGATAGTAAACCTTATATGATTACATAGCAAAATTAGCTGCATTACTTAAAATTATCAATATTGCTATTTATTGGGTATATATATGATTAATTAGCAAACTTAGTAACATATATAAAGGATAAGTTTTAACTTATTAATTTCTTGTGCCCTATTTTTCATATAAAGTCTGGAGTTATATAACTGATACCAGTGATAGAGGGAGGAAAAAATACTCACTTCAACTGAATTCATTTGTATTTGCATTTTGTTATTCTTTCTTCAGTAAGTGAGAAAGGAATGTATCTCTAATCTAAAATCTAGGATGACTGAGTGTCTTTAGAAATGCTTTGAACAATAGCTATAAGTATCTTCTGCTTTTTGCCAGTGCTTTTAATCAGCTTCGTTTGTAATCAAAGTCATATATTCAGTGTGTTTATTGTTCTCTCTCTTTTTTCTCCTTTGTATTGAACATTTTGCTATTCAGATGTGGTAAAATGTTCTGCACTCTAAATATGCATTCTGCTTTTAACCTAGAACTTATTTTTCTGACATACAAGTATCATGCAGGAGAAATATGATCTAATATTATGAAAATTAAAATAACAATAATAATAATAATAGCAGCTTGAGGACAGATGGTGTCCCTTGTAAACTGTGTGAGGTCTGCAGCAGTGAAATATTTAAAGATTACAGTCACTCATTCTTACCATTTGTGACAGGCAATACGAGCCAGTTTCCCTTAAAAATCCACGAAGACATCACTTGTCATAGTCAGATAGCCTTTCTTTAACCAATTAATGTAACCTAACCTATTAGCAATGTGTAATTTTTTAAATCCTTATTTATAATGATGGCTGTTACTTCATATTGAGCATAGTTTTATTATTAGATTGATAACGTTTTCATAGAGTTAAATATTTTGTCTAATCTTAACCCCTAAGTGTATTTTTTCTGTTATGCAAGTCTCAATAATCAATACACTCTTAATGAATCCACTCTAATATAATCAATACACTCTTAATGGGAAAAAAAAAAAAAAAGAACCATAGCTCAATTGAAATTCATCACCTGGTACTCAAAAAAGCATCTGAAATTATCTATTAAGACTGTTATGAGTGCTATATGAAAAGTGAGAGATTCAACTAGTATGATAGTACAAATTTAGACTTAGTTTAATCAAAGTAACACATTTTTCTCATTTTTCCTTTAGATCAAATATTTTTCTTCATCTGACAACATTCCTAGTACTTGAAGATAAAAATATAATTCATGTGCAGCTACCATAGATTTATATGCTATGTCTTAAGAGTCTTTAAGTATCTTGAAAAATTTTCTTTTTTAAAAAGTGGATATTTTCTGTTGCTTAGCGAACAGTTTGTTAATCATTAACATTCTAAATTTCAGGTTTTCTGTGGTCACTGCACAAGAAAAATGTGCTTCTTGTAATTATCCTATAATGGGCCGTTCATTTTACTTATTTCCTTGCAAGCATGTTTTTCATTCAGTTTGTATGATAGCTGAGGTGAGGGTTTCTTTATTTTATTGGCTATACACATATCCTTTAATGAAAAAATTTTGCAAATTGATGTAGATGTTTTATTCTTTAAATTAATGTACAGTTATATATATTTGAAACTTCTGCTTTTTTATATTTGTAGTATAATATTTTTTTCTGTATATGTGAAAATATGTAAAATTTTTTCTGTATAGGTAAGAATTACCTTAGATTAAAATCTAAAGCTTAAGGGAAATACTAATATTTTGAAGTAGTTGTTTTATAACCAGATAGTGTTTAGATTGACATTTAAGAAATCCTGTTCTCAATGAAATATATATATATATGTGTGTGTGTGTGTGTATATATATATATATATATATGCTTTATTTTGATTACTATTCTTACTTGTACATCCCCCTCTTTGTAACTAATTTTATTGCCCCCCCAAAAAAAAAATCAAGAGGGGAGAAATTACTGTTATTTCACTGTTCAGTCAGCCTTCTTGTGTGCAGTATTCTTTAGAAACCTCATGAGCATTAGATATCTCATTTTCTAGAAACAGTTCATTATTATTCCATCAGTCAGAGCCCATGCATATAAAATCTACAAGTAAATCAATTAGTAAGATGAAAATAATCACTACCTGAACGAATCCATTTTAAAACCTAGGAAACCTCACTTTCTGAATGTCCTGAGAAAGGAGAAAATTATGTGAATAAGTAAACAATTTCAGAACCTTGTGCTTAAGGGGAAAAAATGCCTCAGCTAAGTTGCAAAAGAATTTTAATATTTTATTATTGTTTTCATTAATGTGCATCACATTTATTTCATCCATATAATTTCTCATCGCATAAGATCAAATTATGAAGAAATATTCTGTGAAATACTGTTTCACTGACTGCTTTTAATACATAAACTCTAGCAATAAAACATGATTAAGTGTAATATGTAACCATATGGAATTATTTACATAATATCATTTTACTTTTTATTCTTTTAAGAAAATTGCTCAAAAAAGTGCTTAATTTACAGAAATTTAACTATCATTCATTAAAATGTTTAATGAAAATTTTTATAGCATTAAAGGGGTGTGTAGGTAATAGTTCACATAATCATTCAATGTTTATTACAGTTCATTCTTTTTTTGTGGTTATGATTTATTAAAATATTTTATTATTATTAACATGTGAGCGTATATTTTTCAGGTTTTACCTCATCTTTCACCCACAAAGCAGAATCGTGTATCTGAAATTCAGAGGCAGTTGTCTGCTTTTGTTGGACAGGAAGATTCAGTGTCAATTTCTTCTACGTCTTTGATGTCAGCAGCTGTTAGTACCAAAGACAGGCTAAATGTAAGTATCACAAATATCAAGTATTAGATTAGCAACATTTTCAAACATTGCATTGGTTAACATTTTCATCATATAATTTTGGTAAATAACAATGTATACTGTACAGTAGTTCTCCAGATTGCATAATGCTTTTGTTCCATGGAGCTGGATGCATGATTCACTCTTTTATTTCATTCTAAGAGTAACAGTATATCAGTCATTGCAAAAGCTTTTCCTTAGTGGTGTACCTTTGTACTGGAGCATTTAATTTACTGCACACTTTGAAAAAAAAAAAAAAAAGTATATTTTTTTATATAAATAAACAATTTTTTTTTTTTTTTTTTTTTTTTTTTTTTTTTTTTCATAACACTTGCAAACATTTTCTAACTTCAGATCTTCTTTATAAAAACTATTGAGTTTTGCTTCAAAATATGCAATAATAAAAATTCAAGATGAATCTAAGGTATGATTATTATGAAGAAAACATAAATAATAAACATACAAAATTTCAACATAAAAATGCATGTTCCCATTTTCTTTCTTTTCATTATACTTACTCTTTCATGCACTTTTCTGTGGATAAATTAATAAAATTAAGTTTTAATTCTGACATGTCATTATTTTTTCACAATTTATTTTTAATGCATTCTTTGTATAATTTGTAGTTATTTAATATTTTTATGTAAGTTGTATTCCCCCTTCCCATATTTCATTTATTGGAAGAGACTTTTGAAAATTTCATCTCTTATGTTAATCTTTTTATCATTTGTATTTTTATTTAAGTCAACTTTTCTTGCATCTAATTTATGTAAGTTCATTGTAATTCCTACCAAAATTATCAAAAAATCCGGCTTAACTTTCCTTTCTAAGTACATGTCATATTTAGAAGAAGAAAAAACTTCATGAATAAATTATTTATTAACATATTTCAGATATTAATGAAATTGTCATTTTTACAGATGAAAACTGCAGTATTCTATATTATATTATAATTTCAAAAGAAATATTGATTGCACATCATTAAGAAAATAAATAAAAAATTATTTTGATTTAAATAACTTGCTTTATTGAATTGGAAGAGAAATACAACAATTAAAATTTAAAAACATGATTTTAAAACAAATTTTAAAGCATTTATTTTTAAACTTGTTTTATTTAATATTTGAGACTTTAAAAAAAAAATTTAACTGGGCTATTCTTTACACATTTAAGCACATTTAATTGAATTATTTCTTAAATAAATTTACAAGAAACTAAATTTATTTATGATTTTTAATGTGTATGCTATTTAATTTAATGGCAGGTATTAATTTAAACTGAAAGCATTTGTATTTTAAATTAATCTGAATCTCACAACCCGTTTTATAATTACTTTTTTTTTAAAGGCGGAATTGGATGATCTTGTGGCGTCTGAATGTTTATACTGTGGAGATATAATGATAAGGTAAGTAAGATTTCATTGTATTATGATTTGTTATGCATTTATTTCTCTGATACAGGAAATTTTATGTTTAAATATGATTTTAAGATTCAAATTGTTATAAAAGTATAGGAAAAGCTTTGATAATTCATTTGAAAGAAAACTTCTAGAACAATTAGGAGTAATTGGGATGTAAATGTGAATTTTTATGTAGTAAATAAAATTTAATTATAAAGCAGGAAGGTAAAACAGAGTTAGTCGTAACCAGTTATAGATAGCCAATGTAAATTCATAAAAGGACCATTCATATAGTATTTACGTTAAATGGAACTCTTCCCCCCCCCATTTGCAAAAGATTAAATTTATGGCATTAATTATTCACTGAGACTAAAATTCTTTACAACATAATTTTTGGCTTCCATCTGCTTATTTTGATTATGTTTTATTTCTTCATAATTTCATGATAGATGAATGTTGTTGTTTCTTATGGCTTTCTTCAGAAATCAATTACTTCAGGCCACTCAGCAAAAACAAAACAGTAAATTCAAAATTACATCACCAAAATATTAAAAACATTTAAAAATTACAGCAAAAAAGTACTAAAAATTCACACTATTATGTGTTGTATTATGTATTACAGTGTTTGTCAGCATTTTGATGGGATAATATATATGATCCTCAAGACATTTTTGCAATATACTAAATTTTTCTATTTTGAAAATTAATTTAAAATGAGTATTAACTTAAGAGACTGTGGAAAATATTTTGTAAAGTTATTTTTCTCTCAGTGTGGATTCATAGTACTTATTGTAGTAGGTTCATACTCTTATAGTACTGAAGGTTTGAAGTTGATATATATAATTGCTCATAAGTGTTGGCAATTCCTACTGTACATTAGTAATGTTGGTAAGTTTGCTATGTATTATGTATGCATAGTATGTTGCAATGAATTTTTAAAGCACTTATTTAATATCTACAAATACTTGTTGTCATAGCTTGGTCTTCTGTTTTCTTCATGACACAAAATATGTTTCTATTATGCCTTTAAATTTCTGTAATATTATGCCTTAAATTTGTGTAATAAATTGCATGTTACATAATTTGGCTCACTATATATTACTTTGTAAAAAGTTCTATCTATTAAAAATACTAATTAAAACAAAAGTAATAAATATATTTTATTTCTGATTTTTAGCATGTTAGTCATTGGTGCAAAAATGTTGATATTATAATATCCTACATATTGTGTCATTGCAGATCAATTGATGTTCCTTTCCTGAATATGTCTGAGTATTCTTCAGTATTACAAAGCTGGGAATAATTATACATAAATAAATAAAAATAAGAAAACACAGTGAGAGAAGAGATACTTATAAGGAAAGTTGTATATTGTATATTAAAAAACATGCAGAAAGTCAATTTTCTGTATTTGTCTACTATCATTCCTCAGTGTAAATAAGAGAACTGTGATTTTTTATTAAATGATCTTCCAGTTGTTTTAGTTTTTTAGTGTGTGTGTGTATGCTTTGAACTGAGCAAAATATATTGTAGATTAATATAAAATATGTTTTTTAAAATTAAATTGTACTGATAAAAATAATAATTGAATTGTACAGATTTAGGCGTTCAAACTATTTAAATATTTTTAAATGCAATTATTTTATAAGTTGTAATTTATTCACTTTATAATCAACTTACATGGAAAATGTATAATTTCTCCATTATTTAATTTGCATAATAATTTATATATTTTAGTTTTTAAAGTTTAGAATTATGTAAATGTGTTCAGAATTTTGCAGTGAAAAATTATTATGAAAAAAAAAAGGGGGGCTTTTGGTTTAAGTGCAGCAGTGCTTTGTTGATTCAAAACTTTTATGGGTGCCTGTATCAATGAATCAAAGAAGTTATAATTTGTGTCTGGGAAATGAAACCAGATAGATGAAAATTTACATTTACATTATGTGTGATTTGTATATGACATGTACACAAACAATGAGATAAAAACTCTAATAATGCAAATATCTCATTTAATACTGAAATATTTGAAGGCAGTAATAAGAAATAGTATTACATTTCTGTTACTAATATCTTTTGCGCAGGATTGCGAGTTCACATATAAGATTTGTGGGTTCAGCATCCTTATTCTACATCAGAACTATCCCATAACTCTCATTCTTGATGTCTTTACTTAATCTTATTAATAGGAATGGATTGAATTTGAATATTGTCACTTTTTCAGACTCTTTCCATATCATATCAAAGAACTCCATCAGCTGGCTGTATAACTTTATGCAATATTTAATCGCTTACTGAAGAGTAAGCAGAATAAATATATTATTGATTTTCTGTATTTCTCATGTATTTTTTAAAAATATTTCAGTATTCGAATATTAATTACTCTTTCTTTTCCTTTAATTTGTTTCATCTGCATATACATGTAAAGTACATATCTTTTGATATTAGGTAGAAAATTCTCTGATTCCTCTTCACTTCATATTTGAGACAGTAATAGTAATACTAATTATTTACCACTAAAAGCATTCAGATAAATTGAAAATGCATCATTACCTTCCTGAAGGTAAACCCTGAATTTTGCTTCTGTAACTGCAACATATTTCAGTCAATAGCTAAAAAAATGCATTAGGACAGTGGTCTCAAACTCTAATAACATGAGGGCCGAATACCAGATCTGAAAACAACTGGCAGGCCAAAATTTTTATTTTATTTTATTTTTAACAAAATGAAAAATTTGTATTAAATATTATTTAACACAATAAGAAATATTTTAAATACAGTTTTAATTTTTTACTAAATATTTACCAAAACATACTTACATAAGCAATAATAATAATATGCAAAGAAAATCTAAAGTTTAGGACCTACAAAATATTTTTTATTCATCATGGTTTGTAATTCAAATATATTGACAGCTAATAATATTAATTTTCAGACTGATAGTTATTTAAAAATATTCTAACATGTTTAATTAATCATTAAATGATTTAATCTGAACTAAAAGTAAACAAATAGCTTGAGAAAACTTCCCAAGTGGGACAAAACTTGAGAATAAATAATGATAACCTAGTTTCTTTCTTTTATTTAGTAAATGTATCTTTGAGGCATAAATAAAAGTACTTATGTTTGTAAGTAAATAACTGTAAACTACTTTATTTCTTACACTGCAGCTAGATAGGGGTGTTTCAGTTCTGATAATGGACTGTAGATAGTCATAGGTCAGTCAAGTCTTTTTCTTATTAATTTTCAACTGTGAAAAAGAGCTGTTCCCATATAAATGAAATCCCAAAACAAAACATTTATTCTTATTGCAAAAATTCGTAACTCAGTGTATTTTATGTTTTGACAAGCATACGAATAAAAGTTAATAAAGTTTGTATCTTCAGGTCTTTGAATTAGATTTATATCACATTGTAAATTAAGTAGCTCAATTTGTAGATTTTTGGGTGTGCTTTTCATGTTTCTTTTTAATAGAAATGAAAATAATGTAAACTCACTCTTCAGATAACTAAATTCTTGAAATATTTGCAACATTATATTTGACACAAATACGTAATTGAAATGTATTTGTAGGTCACATAAAATTGCTTCAGATGTTGCGTACGGCCAGCGGACTGCTAGTTTTAGACCACTGCATTAGGATGCATAGCAGGAACCCTTTATGAAAAGTCACAGATTTCTGATTTAATAATTATATTAACGTGTTAAATATTAGGCCTATTTTGCTTGCTCTAAGGCTGTTTGCTAGGGACTTGTATGGTATTTAATTTGTTGATGAAGAGTTTGTTTTGTCTTTGCTTCAGATTGATAATTTTGTTGTTTTTGTGGCTGGATATTTTAGAAATGAAATTTATCTTTACTTTTCTCTTAAATTACATAAATATGTTGCCCTTAGGTGTTAAAATAATGAGTAATCACACACTTTTCTAGTGTGATTTGAGTCTGCATCATAATAATAATTTTAAAATTGGAATTTGTTTTAAGAAAATGTTTCAAAATATACTTTGGAGACAAAATTTTGAATTTTTTCCTTTAAATATAGTATATGTAAACATTAAAGTAATATGTAATTACGCATTTTACTACTGTGCAGAATAAGGTGAATAGCTATTTTTGAAATAATATCTCTCTCAGCTGGAGCTGCTGATTTTTGTCCCCTCCCTTTTTTTTTCCTAGTAGGGTAAGTATTTTTGGTTTTAATAATTTCAATTATTGTAGCTTTCTTTAAAAGATTTTTAGCAACTGAATTTATGCCACTTAAATAAATAAATAAGTAGCAAAATGTAGCCTTTTTGTGGTTTGTGACAAAAAAGGCTGAGTTCATTTCATATTTCATTCAGTACATTTTGTCAAACAAGTTACTTCAAAATAATTTACTACTGAAAGAAGGAGCCTCATTATTTGAAACTAGCATTGGAAGTTGGAAATTTATTAATTAATGTAATTGCATAGATTAAAAATATTTATATAAAATAACAAATATTAAGGAAGGAAAAATTTATATGCTGTACTTAAGTTTACTTTTGAAAAGGAAAATAATGTTATTTTTCTTCTTTTCAATACAAAATTTTCATTTACTTTCCAGAAACGTAAAGTAATTAGAGAGTATATTACTTTGCTTTCAAAAAGAGTAAAAATGTTTAAGATGAAAACATCATGTTTTTGCAAAAGTGCTAAAAAATAACACTAAGAGAATTGGATTCTGCATCATGACAATGCACCTGCTTGCACTTCATTTCATATAAAGCAACTTTGGCATCCAAAAGCATGGTAGTTTTCCCTCAACCCTGTTATTTACCAGATTTAGCACTCTGTCATGTTTCTGTTCTCTAAAACAAAGATGACAATAAAATGGAAAATAGAGTTAGTGTCATAAATGAAGCCTAGGAAAAGTTTCATGGGGAAAAGTTGAAATCAGTGGTACAAATACTGGTGGACACCAGAAATTCACCATTAATCATGCATCTGTACTAACTATGCAGTTCCATGCCAATTTTGAGGGAGAACACCTGTGAGTGGTCCAAGGGTTTCTGTATCACCAACCATTTAAGAGACTTTTGGCTCGCTGTGTATTTGAATACCGATTTACTGCATAGTATACTCTTATATATATCTTATACAAATATCCATACCTTCTTTGGGATTCGAAAATAGGCCCCTCAGTACAGCAGTCAGCATCACTAACCACCATATCTATTGAGTGGCAGATTGGTGCTACAATGGAAACTCTTTTGAAGGAGATGGAGAAGAATAAGAATTTAAATTTGATAATTAAATTTTGTGAACTTTTGGATAGCTCTTCATATGTATGTATAATAGTTCAATGTACACAGTATTTACAAAGTCTAAAAATGATATTTCAATGTTAGTAGAAGGAACAAAAATATTTATAAAATGTAATAGAAATATTCATTGAAACATAATTTATAATATAAAAGCCATTTTGGGATAAATAACTGCATAATTTTCTTGATTACTTGTGTGCATAATTATTTCTGAAGCAAATAGATTAAGTTAAAAATTTTCTGTATATGAAAATTTAAACTTCCATTAAATCCATTTCTAATTTATTTACAGAAAACTCATTTCTATGTGTTAAGGAATGCTTATAATTAATTATGTTATCCTTGAGGAACTTTTTATTTTCTCACATTAAATTAAAATTACTAAGTTATTTAAGCTTTTTATTAAAAATATTGATTATAAGAAGTTTTTGTTTAATAGAATAATTTCAGTTATTTTCAAAACACAACCCAAATGAAGCAAATTGTTTTGCTTTTGACTTCTTATCCTTTCATATACCTTCTAATAATAAAAGTACAAAAAATATGCATTTGATCAGGAAGCTGAAAATATTTTAATGTTTGTGAACTATTAAGGTGAATGAATGATTAAATCATTAAATGATTAGAGATAAAACAGGAAAAGTTATGAGAAATCCATATGCATTGTAAGAATAACATATTCTTAAAAGAAAAAAAAAAGCTCAGTTCAAATCTTTAAAAAGATGAAAATGTATAAATACCATAACATATTCATTGCAGCTTTTAGATCTGCACATATGATCTGGTGATTTGCCCTTTTCCAAAAAGGACAAATCAACTTTGTGTCTTTTCTGACTCGTAAATATCTTCTATGTAATTTCTGTAGTTCAAGATTTTGTTTTTTATTCAGTCATAGTTTCTTACATCTATATCTTCATGGATTTTATTTCATTTTTACATTTTGCCCATTCACAAGTAGGTTTGCTTTTAGCATAGAAATTTCTTATAAAATGCTTTTCACAGTTTCTCATTATCTGTTTAATTATTTAATAAAACTGTAGTATGAATTTGTGCTAATAATGCAAAATATTTTTTGTTTGCCTTGAATTCTAAATTCCCAAACATAAGCCATCTTAGAACAATGAGAGCATTTATAAGTATTTTAAATATGCACATAACTCTTTCTCTTTTTATATAAAATTACTTTTCTTAGATTTTGTATATTGATTTTAATACCCAATTCTTTTCATCTGTTAAAAAGTGTTGTTTCTGGTATTTTTTTGTATATGTCCTTTCCCAATGCAGAAATCTGGTCAAAATCATTTGATAATGAACTCCTTCTTTGCCAGCCATTGTATGGCTGGAACCTTGGAAGCTTGCTTGTAAAATTAACATTTGCATTACTTATATCACTTTTCCCACTTGATGGAGATTCATCTATCACTAGTGGTTTGTTTGTCTGAATGGTGGTTGATGACTTGTACAAATCGGAAGTACTTGATGAGTGTTTTTTATTTGCAGTTTCAGATATTTTTGATATATTGCTACTGCTACTAAAAAGAGAACTACTACTTCCACTGCTGCTTTCTGGTGGCTTGAGCTTTGAAAAGGAGCTGAAGCTACCTGTTCTATTTCTTGCAGATATGGTAGTGGTCTTTTCTGTAGTAGACTGATTGTTTCGGTCTTGAGACTTTCTTCTCCATCCATCAGCTAATGGATTTGTTGTGACACTCTGAATTGGAGGGCTTACATCTCCTATTCGCAGCATTTCTTTTGGTTTGCTGTTCATGTCTGATGTTTTGTTTTGTGTTGTTGTGTATAGTCTTTGGGAGATTAGTGAACTTTTCCTGTTGGAAGTAGTTTGGTTTGGACTAGTAGATTGACTTGTAGGAGTCCTGCTTTGAGAGACTGGTCTGGTAGAAGTCAGAGAGCTTCTTCTAGTTGGATATTGAATGCGGCTTGATGTCGCTGTCTTTTCTGGAGCTGCTTGATCATTAGTTAGCCTGTGATTTCCAGAAAAAGACGTTGTTTGCCTTGTTTGTATAGCCTGAAATAAAAGTGTATGAAATAGTCAAAAGGCTGTATAAATTACTGTACAAATACACACTGTTATTGAGGTATTTTTTAAGAAAAATTATGGAGATTATTTTCATCAATATTTCCACAGAAATATTACTATTCCATATTTTCATCAATATTTCCACAGAAATATTACTATTCCAAGCTCAGTTTAATAGTAAAAATGCTATCAATAATTTAATTGACAAACTAAAGCATACATATAATTTTTATGAAAATTTGAATTAATAGACACTTAATTTTCCAGACAAATAATTTTCTCTATTTGATGTATAAAAAATTCATTAATTTTAAGCATAGAAAAGGAATTATAAGATACCAGATTCAATATTGAGTCTACTGTATCTATTGTCACATTATCAACAAGATATTTATTTACAGCTCAGTAAACTATATTTTATCTGTCTTTCTCCCTTTTTTTTCAATATTACACTATTTTTAAGGAAGTATAAATGTTTAAAAAAGTATAAAATTTGCTGAAAATGGATTTTAAAATAGTCCAATATTTCCTATAAATTTTTTAATTAAAATTTAGTATATTAATGAATGCAAATTTAATTAATTTTATATTTCTTATTAATACCCCAAACTTTTAAAAAATTATTCTCTTCATAAATTTTTTTAATCATTAGCCACTTGCACTGGCTAAGCTTCATGGTTGCAGTGCCGTGCACTACAATATAACAAGCGGTAAAGTGTCTCATTTACGGCGTTCCGTGTCTGCGAGTTCAATTCAGAGCTGTAACTTGAGAAATAAACAATCTCGTTGTTAGGCAACATGTGCACCATGTTATTTTCATTTTTGCGATAAATGCCTATCGACATGGTGTTATCGTCGCTCGTGGTTTGAGACAAAAGCATCTCGACGTGCGTGGCATGTCTTTTTAGCGCAAGTGGTTAAAGACAGATTTTTCAAGGGGAAAATCAAGAAATTGTTTAATCAGTTTATTTGCCAGGATAATCATTGGAAGTCCTTTATTTTGTAAGGTAAACAATTTGTATGCATTTGTAAATGTATTATCTATTTTTGTTTTCAAGATTTAATTCACTTTTAAATCAGTGCATTATGCTAGATTTAAATTTATAATAATAGAAATAATTTCAATTTCATTTAATTACCTGTGTATCTTGAAAATGCATCCCTTTCCTTTCTTCCAAGAAACGAATTTGCTTTTCTAAATCTTCAATTTGCTGAAATAGCCCTTCAATATGATCCAATAGTTCTTTATTCTGTGCCATCAAATGATTGTTTTGTTCCTGTTTTTATAACAAATGCATTAATGTAAAATTCAAAATATTAAACATTTTGATTTGTTACACTGGTTTTAAATTTTTAAAACATCTAAACAACATTCCAAGAATATGCCAGTTAGTATTTTGGATTTTCTTCAGTAGTTATTTTTATAAAATATATATGCTTAATGCGCTGACTGCCATGCGCATTTGACATGGTTTGCCCATGACGCCAACTTGAAATTTTTATTATGCGTGTAAATTATGTTATATTATGTTGAAATATTATCTACAAAAGATAATGTGAATTATATTATCTGCATTTTTCATAGTGGAGTTACCGGTGACCCCCAAGGTGCTGTAGACCATTACTGTGATTTATAATTTAAATTTGTATGATTTATTCTTCATCAAACCATTATAATAACAATGGCACTATTTAAAAAAATTATCAGCATCAATATTTACTCTAATTATGTATTTTACTATTCGTCGCGGCGTCGGTCATTGTTGGCACGCACGTCGGTGTAAGTCAAGTGCCAGTGACCCCTACAGCAGTCAACATTAGGGTTAATATCTTCGAAGTGTTTATTGTCAAATTTTATAAATTGTGATCTAAATATTGAATCTGCCTATCTAATATTTAAAATTTGGAAACTAAAAACATAATGTAATAGCTGTTACTAATATGCTTACCACTTTAATATAGTTATACAAAAAGGGGAGAAATAAAAAAGAAAATTAATTAATTACAAAATTACATTAAAAAAAGAAAATTAATTACATACAAATCACTAGTTTAATATATCACTTTATTTTACAGTCTAGAAATCAATGTGATGATTGACACTGCTTTTATGATACAAGTTTATATAATTTCAGTAAGGCAAAGGTCTCAGGCTGAATTCCAGTGGAGCACTTTCAATGTGATTTATCGTTTTTAATTTAATTTGTTTGAGAGCAAAAAAAAGCATTTCCACACACACATGTGTACTGCAAAATAACAATAACATTTACAAAGAGAATATATGCAGTTTGGGAAAACGTTCTTTGGAAATCAGTTCCCAGAAATGTTCAGTGACATCACATTTTTTAATCTGGTAGAATGGATCTACCTGAAGATCACAAATTTCCATTTGAAGGTCACAAGGCACCTTACTTACTTCAATCTCCATGGGGTTGTTTAACAATGAAAGTTTTGTGTTTAGGGAGTCAAAAATCCTGGAATTTGTCCTGGAACTCTTTCTTGATATCAATAATTATTTCATGAAACATACTAAAATTTATGTCATTTTCTTCTTTCAGCTGCTGACAAAATAGGTGTGCCACATTATTTGCCTTCAGAGCAATTTACATTACATTAAGGTTTTTGCGAAAACCTTCAATATGTCCCTAAAGCTGGAATATATTTTGTTTTCTCCCTTGTAGTTTCAAGTTTGAAACATTTAGATGGAATGTTAAATTTGTCAGAAAAACAAGATTATTTAAATACTGAATTTCTTCCAATTTTTCTTGATACTCATGCCCGATGTTTTCTTTTTTGAGGAAAGCAAGAATTTCATTCCTCAACCCAAAAAACTGTTGCAGACAATTTCCAGCACTTAGCCAGCATACTTGACAGTACAATAAAATGTCACCATACTCAGCATCCAAACTGTCCACAAATTCAATAAATGTTCTGTGTCTCTGGGCTTTGCCTCCCCTTATTAAATTTACAATATTTACAACAGTTTTCATTGTCTCACTGAGTCTTATATAATTTTTCCACAGAGAGCCTCCTGGTGTATAATGCAGTGGAAAAACAAACAATCTATTCTTTTTCTTTACATAGTCCTACTAGCTCAGTTCTGCACTTCCTGAAAATACCATATTTAGAAATTGCATTATCCAGTGCGTTGAATATATTAATACCTTTGGTGCTAGTTTCTAATGATTTTAATTCCAACAGTTCTTCATGAATTTAAAGTGCTTCATTTATTGACAAAGTAAGGAGCTGACTGATGTCAGCTATATCTGTGCTGACATCTAAAGCTATAGGGTAAAATTCACATTTTCCCAAAATGCCCTTGAAAGTATCTGAAACTTCATTACCCATATCATTAGTTCTTCTACTTACTGCCGGATGAGACAATACTGTTTCAAAATTTCTAGCTATCTTATGTCCAAATGAAGATGCCTTTTTTATAGCACATTTTTTAAACTAACCATCCCTTAAAAACTTTTTAATTTATAATTTTTATTGTATAATAACTTTTTTACTTTACAATTTATTCTGTTTATTAATATTTAAAGCAGTAAGAAGGGTATTTTGTTTTTCTAAATGTTCAACTAACATTTTTTTTCTCCAGTAAGAAGGGCAAGTGCCAACAAAATGAATAAGAGGGCCACATGCGGAGGGTTGGACCACGCTTAGTTAGCAGATAAAGCACCCAGAAACTAGTGGGAACCTTTGTTTGCATATTAAAACAAATTTCTAACTGTTAGAAATATGTTTCTAATGTTAGAAAAGATGCTTAAAGAGAAGGAAATTGATGTAAATTAACCAAACTATCTGGAAAGGCTTCAAATTAAAAAGACACATGTATATATATCTTGTCGTGTGTTGTTGCTACAAAACGTGTAATTATCCTAATATTGTGTAAGAATCAATATCGTAAATTACATGTATTTAAACTGTGAAATGTTATTAGATTGTGATTTTAAGTGCTTTTTAAAAAATATTTTTTTAAAAAAATAAATAAAATTTAATAGTGGCTAATTAAATCTATAATAACTAAAGCTATCTAACTACCTAATTTAATTATTTGTAACTAATTGCTCATTCTTAAAAGTTATCTCTTCATATTAAAGCCAGTTATTGCCTTTCATTAATTCTTAGTCACAAGATACAGCACAAAAGTCTAAAAATTAATGTAAAACTTATTCTTTGCAACTAGGGAGACTTAAAATAGTACAAAACAAATTATCACTTATGGTCTCTTAGTGGCGTATTGCAATCTTAAAGTACATTAACTGAGTTACAACCCTAGGAACTCTACACAAACTATGACACTAACTGCGTCAGAAAGATAGAGCTTGACTAACTTTCAAAACTTGCCAACTGTGCCTACATCAGGCTTTCAGGTTTATTCTTAGCAACAGGTCTCTTTCTAAGCAAGCAGCAGCACTGGCAACAGCCAGTCATCTGTTGCGAATCATGCTGATTATGATTACTTCTAATTTTAACTCATGCCATTTAATATAAAATCTGTAGACTGAGCAAGTATGTGACAAAATGAAACATAAAAGAAAAAATCAGTATAAAGCTAACCTTTGGTAAAAAGTAAATAAAATGTCAATAATCTTTCTTCAGATATGTCCAATCATTGTAAGTAAAATATTTAATGCTAGTTGATAAATTTTTTAAAGTTGATTTTATTCTCAAATTTGTTTTATGATTATGTTTAATGATAATGCAGCCTACTTATGGATCTATTTTATTCTTAGAATTGTATAACAAATGTAAAATTCAGGCATAGATAATGTCTTTAATTGAATTTATTCAGTTTCCATTTACTAAGAGGTCTTTAATTTTTTTTCGTTAATGGTTCTTAAAAGTCCTTAAAAGTACTTAATTTCCACATGCAGAAATGCACAAGAACCCTGTAAAATGTGCCATGAGCTAAAAAAAAGTAACATCAACCCATCTGAAAGAAAATGACTTCAAATCTCAGTTTACTACAGGTACCTTAAATAATGACCATTTTCTGAATTGGTTTTGGGTGAAATTTTATTTGTATAATAGGAACCAATGAAATTTGGTTGTTATTTCCTTGAATCTTTGAATAGATTATCTGTCTGTGATGCTATTCTTCTAGTTAGTTTTTTTTTTTTTTTTTTTTACAACGTCCATGTTATTTTATGCAGATTTTTACTCAGTGAGTTTTATCATTCTTCCTTTTGGCTTTCTCATTTTTCTTGGCCTTCTAGGTATTCTTAAGTATTATCTAGTGGAGTGTTTCATAATTTCGTGCTTTATTTGGAATAAATATGTGTCTTTTTATTGTTTTCCTTAGTTTGGACGAAAGGCAGTTCTGTGGGAGAACTCAAGATTTAAAATCTAAACAAATTAATCAATGCAAAGCAAAAATTACCCAAAGTCAATGGGGATTGCAGTTTTGTGAGACCATGTCCAAATTTATCATGATTGCTGGACTGGTACTTGCAGCAGAAAATATAATGCTTTGAAAAGAAGTTGAAGTGCTTAGTAGGAAGTAATGGAATATATGTTATGCCATTCACAAGATAGTCTTATGGAGAGAAATTTCTGATACTTCTAAATAAGTATAAACAATAATTGTGACCTTTGAGTATTGAAATTTGTGATTTTAATCTAAATAATGAATGACTTCTTTCTATCAAATATGTTAGGTATATTCTCTGATCCTGAGTTAAGATACTGTGTATTCAAATAAAGTATCTTTTAAATACTGTGGAAATAAAGTTTCCTTTTCTTTTCTTTCTTTCTTCCTCCCCCCCCCCCAACTAGGACAGGTTAATAACATGCCACTGTTAAACAGGATCTGTGATGAAGAAGTTGGATCATGCACTGTTGCAAAATGAAGGTTGATATCTTATGTCCAGTATTAGTTTGACATCCCATCATTTTGCAAACTATATTGTCAACAGATTTTATCTGCATTATATACTCATGGAAAGCACTCACAATTTTTTTATTAACATTAAGTTCTTGGTGATGCTATTATAGTTTTATTCAATATAAATCATCTTTTATTTGTGAATTCCATTACTGTGATTGATTTTGAAATAGAACTGTAAACAACAATGATCTTTAGCAAAGAAATTAGTTTTAATTTCAGTGGAAAGTTCTACCAGTAGGTAAACAGTCTTGCAGTTGGTACTCCACTGTAATAATTACATGAATCAGCTTGAATGCAAAATTTTATGGATGTTAATTTATTTATGTAGTATGTCAATTACATATGCATGTTTTATGATAAGCCAAGAAAAGAAATGTTGAAGCTAGATCTAGTTATTCTCCTATTAACAAATTGTTCTATAAAATAAAATTCTGAGGCATAGAAAATTGAATACTATGAATAACCTTAAAAATTTGAATATTAATTTATAAATGAATTTATAAATGAATTGACCTTAAAAATTTCTCCTTTGCATGCACAGAGCAAATTTTGTTAAATATAATAATAAAAATAAAAATTCAAAATTTAATAAAATATAGCCTAAATTATACACGGTAGGTTATGTTAGATAATAACAAAAACGAAAAGCACATGAGGGCTATCTGCTTAAGGGTAGGGATGCCTTAATTGAGGACTTTCTGAAGGCAGCTGGATCATATTCACATTACAGGTGGGTAAAACCAATCATGAAGCCAACCGATTGATCTGGAATTGAAACCAGGTTGAACTCCCAGCATTCAGCAGTTTTATCCACTCAGCTACTGATGGGACATAAGTACAGAAAGGAGTACAAAAAAATCTAGCATTGCATTGCATTGAATTCTTGTGATCAAAATCTTAAATTTCATTTTCCAAAGTTCAAAATTATTGTCCACATTATTGTTTCTTGCTGCTGAAGATTTTTTAGGACTTTTAGAAATTTTTTCCCATTGTGATTTCTTTTTGAATAATTTCAATTTCATATTTATTCTTTTTGGAGACATGTGAATTATATTCCAAGACCCAGTTGTTTTCTTCTAGTTAAGATCTTAAATTTCCCACTGAAGTGTTATAACTTCTGGCATTTTATGCTAATTTTTATGTTTGCATACTTCTTTTTTTCTTATTGTACTTTAAAACATTATTTTCACTATAACTTCCTGTATTGTAGTACTTAGAGGGGAATTAAACTGAACCACTTATGTGGTAAAGTTTCACATTAACAACAGTGATTAACTTTTATAAAACTGGGCTATATTCTGACAAAAATGCAGAGAAAATTTATTCTATATATTTTTATGCTAATTTTTATGTTTCATTCCTTTTTACTTCCTTATACAAAGTAAAAATGAAGTATTGTAATCGCGAAATGTTTCAGGCAGCATATTTCAACGAAAATGTCCATTTTGACCGCTATCGAATGCAATTTAACGATGTTTTTGCCTGATATCTGTACGTAAGGACAGAATAAAAGACTCTTTTCCTCCAAAAAAATTATAAAACTGCTTTAAAATGAATTCTGAAGAGAAATTTTTGTGGCATCTGTATGAACGTATGTACGTACATATCTTGCATAACTCAAAAATGAGTAGCCTCAGAATGGTGAAATTTTGTATATAGGACTGCAATAACATGTAGATGTGCACCTTGTATTTTGGTTGCAATCGGCTGCACCAAACGTATATAAATATATTTATATATATATCCACTCTTACCCGGCTCAGTGATCTCAGTTTCTTTACTCTTATGTGTTTGTAAATTTTACATTTTTGCTTTAAAAATGATGAAGATATGTTTTTCTTATCTTCCAGTTAAGGTTTTTATGCCTTTAGTAAATCTGTATGCAATACTTTTAGAATTATCAACAATTTTAAGGTTATTTAAGTGCTGCTAGGCCTAATAATTTTTTTGATGGCGGCCATTGCTTGTTTACATTTAAAACAGTGTAATAGTGGATTTGTTGCCGATCTAGAGAAACTTAGCTTCGCAACAACAAAGGTAACGCCTTCATTTATTATTGCAAATTAAATCATGCTTAATACTTTCTGGAATTTTTTTGAGGAAATAAGTGTTTAAGATTTACTTCTTAATTTTTAATACAGATATTTTGAGTTTTTATGTAATTTTGCCTTGTCACAAAGTCAGAACTGAATTAATTGAATGAGAAATACTCAATCATCTGTGAAAAACTGTTTCTTTTTTGTTTTTGTTTGCTTAATTTCTTTTATACATCGTTCTAGCTTTATTATAGTATTTGAATAGAACATGTGGCAACAATTAGATAATTCTTTAAATGATATAAATTTTGTGCATTCTGAGTTATAATATGAACAAAATATAATACTGTTAAGTGAACCTAGCACCAGAGTGTCACTATGGTAAACAAATAGCGTGAATTTTAAAGAATGCATTTATTCTATTGTGGTTTATGTGCTGTCGGCGAAGTAGATTTAATTCAATCCAATAAGTTTAAATGAAATGCAAGAAAAAATGTGTATAATTTAATACCCGTACAAGGAAGTCATGTGGTGTATACATCAGATTTTTTAATATTGTAGATAAAAATGTTATTTTTGTTGTACTTCAAAATGTTGTTGCATAAATTACACAAAGTTAGTCAGAAAATTATGTCAAAATCAGATACAACAAAATTATCACATTTCATAATTGCGGGTGAAATCTTTGAGATATTCTGTTAAATTATTGTTTCTAAAATAATGCAGATAGTGTTTACATGATTTTTAAAAATTTTTTGAAATTTTAATCAGCCAGTTCAGTGAAATCACTCATGCAACAGAAAATACACATTTTTATGAAATCTTAGTTGAAAATGGAATCACTTTGGAATGTTGTTAACTCATTACTCTCTTAAAATTTATAAATATATAGATAGTTATACTAATAAATTAACTTTTATATCATGTATAATGCCAATGCCAATGATTATAAGTTACGGAGTGCCTGTGGTTCAAAACCATGTACCTCCACATCGGAAAACTATCTAATTAGTGAGCAGAAATAGAAAAATTGCATAATTAGTTATAATGATGCACACTAGAGGGAGCTACATTAGCTCGAGAAAGTTTAGGGATAGGAAAAATCAAGTTTTGATTTTTTTAGTTCGAATGATTATTTTGGTAAATATATATATACTATATATATATTTAATTTTTTATGTATTTTTTGGGGTATTTTTTTAAAATTTTATAACACATAAATACGACACTAAAGCGGAAAGATTCTACAGATTAATAGTCTCATTGGCATATGGCACAAATCATAGTGAAGTAAAGATTAAATTCATGTATAATGATATATTTTTATAAAATGACACACAAAAGAATTTTATATATCATTCAAAAGATGTTAATATGAGAAATTTGCTGACATGTAAATATTAACAAACCATCTGGTTTTTTAAATAGAAGTTTAGGAAGGTATGTTACTATATATTAATTGTAGAGCTAATTTTTGCATGCAATTTGTTTTAAAATGCTTGCAAAAATTCGAGTTTTAATATAAAATCAAAAACAAAATTCAATTTTTTTAATTATATAAAAACAATACCAATTTTCTTTTTACTATGAATGTTACAACATTATTTTGTTTAATTTATTACATTATATATATCTTTATTACATTATTATATATTATTTTTATAATTATATTAGATTCCTTCTTAATTATGAATATTTTTAGTTATTGATTTGAATTTAACTGAATACTGCATATCATTAAGGAATTTATTATTTTAATATATTTTAGTAATTCTAGAAGATGTGCTTAGTTGCAAAAGCTTTTTCTTTTAAAATTTAACACAGCAAGAGGTATACAATAGGTAAATAAAACATATATACAGTACAAAATTTCTAATTCAAACCTCAAAGCTACAAACTTTATGCACATGTGTAAACGTATAATGCGTTTACGCATGCGCATAATGCGTGTTTACGCATGCGCATTTAATATGTAATGGACGGTGTAAGCTAGGCTAAAATTATCTATTTCAGTTAATGTTGCAGATTACGCTGTTCCTTAATCTTCTAATTGGACCCAGCTTATTATTTTTTGCAGACTGTTAGAGCAATTTTATAAAAAGCAAGCTTGAACTTTCGTTTATATCAGAAAGAGTTTCAAATTCTGGAGCTGCCAATGGATCTACAAAGCGAAAGCATGTTTCGATGTCCATCAAACAAAAAGTGCAATTGCTGCAGAAAATGGATAAAGGCATATCCGTCTCAAAATTATGCAAGGAGTATGACATTGGGAAGTCAACTGTATATGACATAAGCAAAAAGAAAAAGGAACTTTTTGAATATTTTGGGGATTCCGACACCCCACTTGCAATGACTAACAGAAAAAGTGTTCGTTATGCTAAAAGTGACGATCATGACAAAGTGATGAATGTTTAATAAAGTAAACAAATAAATATTAAGCTTTTTTTTTGTAAATTTTGATATTTATTTCATAAATTATGGTTTCATATTTTTAATTGTATAATTTCTGCATGCCATCTTACCAGATTTAAATTGATGATCTATAATCCGGAAAAACCCCTAATCCAGAATCGGCGAAGTCCCGACGAGTCCAGATTATGGACTTTGTACTGTAATATAGGCATGTGAAAAAAATGTCTTGATGGTGAATTGGCCCGATGGCAAACTGGCCTAAAGGCCAAATGGCAAGGCAACAATGCTGAAATGGGGGCAGTGAATAGTTTCATTGGCCATTTATATCACGAAATGTATATGAAACATCACTTAGCATCTGAAAAATTCTCCTATCTCTGCAGCATCAGACACTTTTATAAAGAATGTGATTGAATGCTTTATGAAAATAAGTGATAATCTGAAGGTGATACCCCGAAATATTGAATCCTAAAAAAAGCCAAGAATTGTTAACAAATTCCTCTTACCTGCACTTTATGTCTGGCAACACTCTCCGCTGCCATTTGGTCCGTGAGAAGTTGTACTTGGTGCAGAGCCATTTGTGTTTGCTGGCATTGTTGGTCCAGGTGATATTTCAAAAGTTGTATCTGATGCTGTGCACTGCTTGGGTATTTCTCCTCAGCTTCTGTGGTTGGAATGCAATTTGGGGAGAAATTCCTGTCATTGGACTGGAATAAAAATTATTTAAAGTAATTTCAAGTTATTGCAGACACAGAAAATGACATAAGTTATTATAATTAAGCAGTCAAATTAAGATATTGTTTGCAAATGTATTAAAAGAGCATATTAAATCATAAAGATTACTCATTTTTATTACCAATTTATTAATTTTTTAGATTACTAATTTTTTGTGGAAAATTTGTTACCCTTTTTTTTAGAGAAAATAATCGTATTTAAGAAACTAATCCTGTATTTACCAACTTTTCTAAAAAAATTCAATTCTAGGAACTATGGAAAAGATTAAATTTCTGAAATAAATTTAAAAAAAAATTTTAAAAAAATTATATATATATATGACTTTTCTTAAAATCATGAAATTAATGCTTATTTTTTAAATAGGGACAAAAAACTTTAGAATTGACTCCAACAACTTCTAATGTATAATTAGGCATAGCCATTAAATCAAATCTGAAACTAATTCGAGTCTCTTATACTAATTATTTACTTGCTGTAAAATTTACTGCAAGAAAATATAAGCCATAAAATATTAATAGAAGGGATTATTATAGGCAAGGTTTATTATTCTAAAATGAAAAGATCGTCAGTTTTTCTAAACATCCCTGAAACACTAGTTTGATAAATAAAGTAATATAAAATAAAATAGTTAATCGTAACTAAATAAAAGTAATGAAAACAAAGGAGCTAATATTTTTTAGTTCTAAAATTTGACAACCTTTTTGCTTGATTATTTAGTAAATCTACATTAAATACAGTACATTAATCTGTGTGGTGGTTATTTTTAAGCAGTAAAGAAAAACTGGTGTCTTTTTGAACATATTATTTTTGTACATGAGAATTAGCAAATTCTTTTAAGTATTATGAATTGCTAGAAAACAGTATTTATATTTGAGAATTCTTTCTACTGATTATAATTCAGACACCATATTCCTAATCATCTATGACTGTACAAACAAAAATATTTCAGGGTTTCACCATAGGAAATAGCCAGGCTAAATATTAACATTTCTACGTATTTTATAAATTAAATTTGAAATCTCATTAGGAATAATATTTATTAATAAAAAATAAAAATTCTAAGCATATAATGGGAAGAATAATAAAATTATGAATTTCAGAGTTAGACTTTTATGTGTGAAATTTCCATATAAAAGGCCTTTCTAAATTTATACAACAAACTTTAAGGGATGGTACCACGCTAAATACATATTTTTTGATAAAATGTGTGGTTGGAACTGTAATTGGAATGTGCTAAAGGGCATTTTTGGATTTCTATGCTAGTGAGTGTTTTCAGAAGCCTATCAGATTCAACAGGGATTTCTTATATATTGGATTGATTTATGAATGCAAAGATCCGTGATGATTATGCCATTTTGCAGAGGACTGAAGAATATCCAGTAACAAACAGGAGCACTGTTAAAGTAAAAAATACATGCCAAATAACATTTATTAGAGAGTTCTCACAACAGGAATCAGTGGTCATTTTTATAAATTTGCAGTAGTGGAAATGATCCATTTTACTCCAGCTGAAGAAGGTTCTGTAATCGAAATTACAGAATTAGTACTGCAAATTTATAAAAAATACTGTTCATTCCTGTTATTTGAACTCTCTAATAAGAGCACTGTTGTATCTATGTTAGTCTGATCATAGTATGGGAAGGCAGGGATGTTACCCATGTGAATACATGGGAAACAGCCCTTGCTATTTGCAGAAAATTCATGCTGGGCAAATTGAAGAATCATTATCATTGCTACATCCCTTCCATTTGCAATATTTTAAAGATCATATAAATATACAATATTTATATATACATGCAATGCAAGCTGATGATTTATTATGAGTCATCATTTTGAGAATATCCTTGCAACATAGAAACCAATAATTCATTAATGCAATAGAATGCAGCGCAGCTAGCATTTTGGCACATGTTCTATTCATGAAGTAGCTTTTACCCAGGAGTTTATTGCTTGGGCAAATATGAATCTACAGGAAAGCAACAAATCTTTATCGATGTTTGGACTAGACTTATGAGACCTTACCTATCAACTCAACTTGATTTACAACCTTTTTCTATAAGAGATTTTGCCAGAATTGTTGCAGAATGTTTTTTTAACCATTTGACTTCAAGTGTGATTTCACCATATTTTAACATGGAAAAACTTAATATGAACCTATTTTTGAGAACCAGTGGATTGACTAAGGTAAAACTATTATTTGATTATGATCATAACAAATTTTGTTACATCTAAAACATCCAAAGAATCTTGTTTTCAAAACTTCGCTAAGAGTCTTGCCAACCAGACTTACTTTCACTGTAGTTACATACTCAAAAAATATTTGATATATTGTTGCGTTTTTCTTTTCTGACACCAGTTACATTATTTTCTTCCTTCACGTTCGTACGGGGTTCGTGTGGATTTGGAGTGAATAACGACGACACTTGATGAAGTATCGAAACACACTTTATTGGCCGGTATTGTCAGGACAGCTACAAACACGTTTTTACAGTCTTCGGTGAACTACTATAAACACACTGATACGATCAGCGAACAGCCTTCACACTGTCAGGCAATAACGATGGAGACAGCTTCACGGCAAAGCACTAGTACAGCTCTCGACTCTGCTTGGTCGTTCTCGGAACTCCACATATTCTCGAGACTCTCCGCAATAAAACTCCCGATGCTCTTCTTGACCACACACAGAGCATGGCTCCCGACTCTTCGGTTCAGTCGTTCCTGGAGCTCAACACGCTCTCTCGACGATGCACTAATCGCGATACACTAAGAGACTCCTTCGGTGAACTCGACGACCCACTAGGTACTCGCTGCCCGACTGTCAACTCTGATTGACTCGCTAGACAAGACACAAACTCGATACTGACTAGACGAGGCACACTCACTCGCCCTCTCGATGAAGCACACTCCCACTTCTGCGAACCAGCAGGGTTTATATAGCTTTTGGCTTGTGTTATCGAGTACATTCTGGGCTAAACCAGTAAGAATTCGTTCCAGGAGGTTCTCCAACAGTACAATCCTTGTTCAGGAGCATAATTCGATACAAACAAAAGGTAATAACACAAACAAATAATTTAATTAAAGAAACAAATATTTACACTATGTACAAGTTATAAACACAAATTAAACATATAACAATTTTAAATTATACAAATTAAAGTTCATAATGAATTTCAGTCTCAGTCTTTTCATGAAGTTATACCCGGGTCAAATACTTTTCCACTGCAGTTCTCAGATACATTTATGTTTTGCATATCACAGTCTGAATAATCAATTCTTTCAGACTTTTTATCCACAAGAAGATCTGATACATTTTGTTCACCACTCTGAAGTTTGTTTGCATCATATGTACAGTTCATCTTGATACTTTTAACAAATGGTTCATGCTTATTTACCTCTATTTCTTGAAAGTCAGTTCAGATGTTTGCATTAGAGTCGCGAACGGAACACGATTCTTCACTATGAGATGCACATATAGTTCGCAAAGTGGGTGAATTTTCTTGCCATACTGGAGCGCGCTGCTTAAGCTGTACATCAGCTTCTCCCATCTCTGCATCACATGCACTTTCAGATGATTCAACACATGCTGCTTGCGACTTTGTCATTTCACTATCACTTTCTACGATCTTGATAGTCACGTTTTCACTTTGTTCTATCTCTACTTCAGGCACATGAGATTCAATATCTTCTTTCCCGCCTTTTATTTCTTCATATTTTCGTTCTTTTGCTTTAATCCCATTAAATGTTTCCTCCATCATTAGCTACTTCTTTCATTTCTTCATCCTTTGATTCTTCAGACGCCACTTCTGTCATTTTCACATTTTCTTTTATGGCTCCAATTTCTTCCGCAACCTCCACTTTCATCTGTGGGAGTTGCTTTTGCAACTGTTCTTGGCCGGCTTTTATCTTTTCTCATCCAGCTTTTATATCAGCTGTCATCTTTTTATATCCAGCTATTATCTCAGCACATTCGGCTTTTAACTCAACATATCCGGCCTTTATCTCAGCACATCTGGTTTTCAATTCCTTCTATCTGCCTCTGATCTCGGCTAAGAAGTCCATCAAAGTCTTCGTTTCCTCCGCCATGGCTTTCCTCTGCAGGCGGGTCACTGGCATTCACTCGCAAATCCCACTTCTGACACCAGTTGTTGCATTTTTCTTTTCTAACACCAGTTGTTACGTTATTTTCTTCCTTCACGTTTGTACGGGGTTCGTGTGGATTTGGAGTGAATAACAACGACACTTAATAAAGTATCAAAACACACTTTATTGGCTGATATTGCCAGGACAGCTCCAAAACACATTTTTACAGTCGTCAGTGGACTACTATAAACACGCTGACATGATCAGCAACACAGCCTTCACACTGTCAGGCAATAACGGTGGAGACAGCTTCACAGCAAAGCACTAGTACAGCTCCCGACTCTGCTTGGTCATTCTCGGAACTCCACGTATTCTCGAGACTAACGCTACAATTCGCGATGCACTCGACAACACACAGAGCACAGGTCGTGACTCTTCGGTTCAGTCATTCCCGGAGCTGAATATGGTTCAGTCTCAATGATGCACTAATGCATTAACCGCGTACACTAAGAGACTCCTTCAGTGAACTCGATGACCCACTCGGCACTCGCTGCCCGGCTGTCAACTCGGATCGACTCGCTAGACGAAACACCAACTCTATACTGACTAGACGAGGCACACTCACTCGCCTTCTAGATGAAGCACACTCCCACTTCTGCAGACCAGCAGGGTTTATATAGCTTTTGGCATGTGTTATCGAGTACATTCTGGGCTAAACCAGTAAGAATTCGTTCCAGAAGGTTCTCCAACCGTCCATGGTATTCGCCAAATGGGTATTTCTCACCAAATATGGCAACCCTGCCTTGCCTTGCCATTTTATGGCAACCCTAAAACTGCTTTGCGGGGAAGCTATCTCACCGCGCCTTAACGTTTCGTAACAATATCAAGAATCTATGCTTACAACCCATTAAATGTTATCTTATCCTGTAACATTAGAAACATTCTGTTTATATTTGAGAATGGCATAAGTGATGTACAGGTGATGTACATTTTACGTACAAATCAGAAGTAACTACTATGGCTTACTTCATTGGATGGGCCACGCATTGTTAAATTAAAAATTGGTGAACCTTGAGTATCTAGATATTCACGATCCTCAGGTGAGATTTTAAAACTTTGCAACTGAGATACTTTTTGATAGGATTCCTCTGTTGGAGAATAGTCTGAAATGGAAAATAATATTATTAGATAACTCCACAAAGCATAAATTGCATCAAATACATAAGCTAGTAACAACCATTAAAATTTTGTTCCATTTCTTTGAAGAAATTTATTGTGAACGACACAATATTTTTCTTGTTATGTTATTATTGTTTATACTCTTTACTTTTTAATATTTAAAAAAAAAACTGAATATGCTGAATGTCTTGCTTAATTTTTATCAGTTAAGAATATATAGATTTAAATGAATAAACATATTAAAGGAAATACTAAACAATATTTAAGACTAAATTTATCCTGAATTTTGGCTTGATTCTTGCACTGAAATACTTGGAACATTTCATAGGTGAATAGCATGATTTTTTTATTAAAAGAGCATTTACAAAAATAACTATGCTTATGTAGCTATATGGGACCTGTATTCATTATGATTTACACACATTAATTCAGTGCCCCAATATAAATTTAATGAAGACATGGATCACGAAATTCAAATAAATTGATTCCAGCATAATGGTGACACTATCAGCTAAGCAAAGAAAATGTGTAAGATGTTAGTCTACAAGGAACAACCAGAGTTGCAAGATTTTGAAAGCTATGATAACAGAATCTGGATGCAGCAGGGTGGTGCCACATGTAATCCATGGTTAAAAAATATATTCATCAATAAGTTGATTTCTTGTGGAGACAATATCCCATCAGCGTCAAGAATTCTTGATCTTTCTCCTCCTGACCTAATATAGAGGTATTGTAAAAGTTGTGTGTATAAAAAGAAATTGATAACAAAAGTCCATTTAAACAAAATACTTATGATGAAGTAGCCACAATTTCACATGTCATGTGTTAGCTTGTTTTTCCAAAACTTATATGCTAAACTGCATGAGTTTAGACATAAAGATGGATATTCCTACAATATTAATTTTTGTAAAGTTAATTTCTGCATATTTTTATTCTACTAAATAAATGCTTGGTAAGATTTTTTATTTGATTTCCAGAAGTATACAATTTGATAGCCTTTTCTGTGTTGCACGTTTCGTTTCATATAGTGTGGGAACCATCAAGATATTTATTTGCAGATGAAACAACAAAATTTCTTATGCATATATATAGTGTATAAATGGGTGGTTCATGTGTAGGAAAATTATGAAGAATTATAAATTTTCTATATATGAAGCACTAGCAGGCAATATGTGTAAAAAAGGCAATCAAGAATCTTTCTGGCCATCTGAATATTCACAAAAAATTTTAAAATAGAGATACACATATACATTTTCTATGGAAATTCTTTCCTTATGAAAAAGTTACAAGTTGAGGGAAAAATACCTTAGAAGTGCAATTTAGTATGATAGAGTTCAAAACAGGGTTCAAGGCAAACTCCAACTTCACAGTTTTTGCACCAGATTCAATAAATCTAATTAATAATTCAATAATTTAATTAAATAAACAAGATAATCGCTGAACGTTTTCTAGCAGCCATTTCTGTAAGAAAAAAATGAAGTTTTGAGCGCTAATACCATGTGCCTTCAAATGCCGCAATTTAGTGGACAACTAACGATATCTGTTAGCCAAAACGTAAACTAAATGCCTAATGCTGTATATAATTTATTTCAATGATTAAACGGGGAAAAAACGGGATGCGCTCCTCAATTAAGGAAGAAAAAGATATGCCCGCAGAAATCGCACAATAAGCAAATTTTGCTACATTTGAATTGCCCATGGAAATCACAGGATGATCAGCCGGAGGATTAAAGAGAAATCTAATAAACTACTAAATTAATTTTAAATAGTTAATAGAAAAAAAAGTATCGGACCTTGTCTTATTTCGGGCATCGGCTGGAATTTCAGTTCCACTTAGATGCTAAGAAGCAGCTCAGCCGATCGCCGCCTGCGTTTAAGCCCTGATTATATTCATAATATACTATTTCAAGAGATGACAGGTACCACTCTTTTCTTGCAGCACACCAAGAAAAAAAGATAAACGCTTAAAGCTCCAATAAGGAGAATAGTGAGAATTCTAGAAACAATATGAGGATATGGAAAGAAATTTAACGGAAAAGTGTAGCTTTGAAAATAAAGAGAGAAGAGTTCAAGACTTTCTGATCGCGATGCCCTGCCGATATAAATCTAGCCGTCAAGCAAAAGTTTTCCCTGAATACCTTTTCTGTATAAATTTTCTTGAATACAGCCTGAAAACAAACATAAGACTTCTCTGTACAACTAATAACAGTGGTTCTACCGTTTGATTACATCATTCAGAAAGTCTATAGGAACGCTGCAGTAAGAAGTCACTATAGTGAAACGTGCACGACCAGGGTATCATTTTAAGTTCCTTGACGAATACAAAATTGATCCGTTCTTATAAATTCACTGCATATCCTGGAGAATAAGCCTTTGACATATGATTGGGGAACTTTTTTTTCCTTAAAAGTCTCAACCTCTGTGCAAGGTTTGAGTGCGAGGGAAAGACAGGCCTGCATTCAGAAGTTAGAAATAATTTTTAAGGCATGTTTACTATTGAAACAAAAATTATGTGCTAAAATTGTAGTTCCCTTACATAAAATAAGTGCCGGAGCTTTTTTGTTTAGGGCTCCGGTGCGGTCAGAAATTATAATTTATTACGAAAACTGAGAAGTACCAGAGCCTGGCTCCGCCGTAATTTAAGCTCTGGGTGGTAATGAGGTCGCTGATAGACTGGCCAAAGAGGGTAGTAAGAATAAAACTGCCACTGGCTCTTCACTTACTTATCAAGAACTATACTCAAGTAAAAGATCTAAACTCAATTGTATGGCGTATTCTACCTATGCACCAATGATACACAAGAGCATCCCCTGGCTGTCTGCTGGAAATCAAATGTGACAGTGTCTCCCAGACTGCTAGACTAACAAGTGGCTTAAATGTCTTTCCTTTTAAAGTGGCAGAAAAATCTTCCCATTTGTAAAAAATGCTGTAACCATTCAGCTTCACCGGATCACATTCTAAGCGGCATCGAACTTTCTAAAGGGGACTTAACATCCTATCCTCTTATTATTATAGATTTTTTTATGGTCAGCAACCTTCTGGAGCTGATCTGCAATATGTCAGATCTTTCGAGGATAAGCAACAGCAACCAGACATGACAAACCCTGTATTGGATTTTGTGAAGATTATACACCGACATACTTGAATCTGTAGGCCTTCAATATTTGGTCACAACGAGTGGAAGTACCTAGTACGTTTTGTTGTAATGAGTGAAGAAGGCATCGTTGTGATTGTGGCAACCTTATGTTCGACTGCGCGCGCCGTCAGATGACGTGATGTTGTCATATATTGCATATGTTGTCATATACGTCATCCAATACAATCTGTGCGGTGTCACATATTAATAATACTGTACACGGCACAGATTATGTAATATGTGTATTATAATTAATAATATACATATTACATAATCTGTGCCGTGTCAAATACACATATTACATAATCTGTGCCGTGTCAATGTCATATATGGCAAAGATTGTATTAGATTTTTTTTTAACTTAGAAGAACTGTAATGAAATTCTTGAAACACTATGTATGCATTTGGAAATGGAACTTTAGCTATGTTTTAGTATTTCAGTGATGGAGGCATAACATGCGAGTGATTAAGCTACAGAGCACATTCTGATAAGTTATCCACTGCAGTTATGGCTTTTGAAATTGGACACCTGTGGGCAAGCTATGAATACTGTTTATCATATAAATAATCCGAAAGCTGTTTGTGGGGCCTCATGAAAACGAATGAATCAGAGTTATTCAAGAAATTGTGGTTTTTGCCCCGTTTTGAAATGCCAGGCTACTGTTGCATTGGCAGAACTATCTGAAATTGATCTGTTATGTAAGTTTAACGCATTCTTAAGAGTCCGAGAAACCTATGAAAAAATGGTTCTCTTCAGATGAAGAATTGAAAAATGTCATGCCAGCAGTGTTTAAGAGAATGCCATAAAACAGTCTTGAAAAGTGTAAGGATTTAGACCTGAAAAAGAAAAGTGCCTGTAAAGTCACTTTATTTTTAGTAAGAGAATCAGTTTCAAAACTTTTCAACAAATCAACGTAAAATTTTTTTGATTGCTCTTACTTTTTTTTTCAAAACTATAATTTTTCGTTTCTTAAAGCAATTTTTTAGCTTAACTACAAGAAATGATGCTGCATTCTTGATATCAGTATTCTATACAAACCATTTAAGTGCTTGTAGAACTGGGCATACTTTCACTTGATACACTCAACAGTATTCTGGAAATTTATATTAAATTTCAGAAATTAGAGCATCATTCTTAGAAATACAGATTCTGAGAACTGTATTCTATTTCTTTGGGGCCTACGAGCGGCCGAGCGGTAACGTCGCTGAACACTGGTAGTTCGGTCCGAGGTTCGAATCCCGCAAACGGGGTGGCTGCGTGAGCGTTTTCGTGGTTTTCCACATGTGTAACGTGTATACGAGCCAGTTTCCCTTAGAAAGTCCTCCACGAAGGCATCCCTCCCCTTAGGCAGATAGCCCTTGTGGCTTTGCCATAATCACACACATACTATTTCTTTGGAATTCTTGGTGTAGATTTCTATACTAGTATGAATGAGATATTTATAAGACTATTTATGATGTATAAGGAATTATATATGTTCTTTATAATCGCTGAATAAAGGTCCCAGATTCTAACTTATTGATCAATGTCAAAGAAAAAGAGCAAACTTATTTCATAATTCTTTGAATGGTAGATTCTGAATACAAAATTAAAAATCCAGTGGTGGAAGTTCTAACAAGACTTTGAGGATTATTGTAGAATTAGATCTATAAAGTCATGTTATTGCCAAGAGAGCAATATTTTGCAATTATAAAAGCTTCTTACGTTTTCTTGGCAAAGAATTCCTCCACCATGTAGAGAATGCACAAAGAAAGACTTACATATTGCTTTATTGTACATTTATTTTAGAGCAACTTTATAGAATGCAGTGTAGATGCTGCTTATTGAAAGAAGACATGGGTTATTTTACGTGTTTTTCAAATCGTGAATGGGGGATAATATTTTGTTACAGCATGTCCTTTGCCCTTAGATATGTGTAGACTTCTCACATACGTCTGGTCAGGACTATACTGTCATATATCTGTCATGAAGCATATTCAGATCTATACCTATATAACACAAGAATCTGTGGAAGGTCACTTTTTACTAATTTTTTTTAAAAATATGAATATAATTTAACGAAAGTATCAGTGAAGTTTAGTTATTGTAACAAAAATATACAGAATAACACACTGTGACATTATATTTGCTACTTTTGAATTTACATGCCTTAAACTAGTTCGAACCATATTTAGGAAACTAAGAATTTAAGTAAAATATTCTGTTGAGCAAAGTTGCTGAATACATACTGATAATGTTTACATTACTCCAGAGGTCACTAATACTTATTTTTTTTTAATAATAATTTGTCGATTCTTACTCAAGTCTTGGACATTTTCGATCATCAGATATTTCTAATCAGCCCAAACATGCAGGTCTATACTGACCGTTTTGAAATCTCAAGTCTTATACCTGAAGTTCTGTTTATTTATGTAATCTAATGAACAGAAATGAATATTATTGCTCATGATGATAATGCCATCTATTAAAATGCTGAGCATTTGTTTTGTGAATTTTTCCAGTTTGCTTAGGTGAATCTCTTTTAACTCCTACATAACCATCACCTTATAGGGATTATTATGAAAACCAAAGCAGTCTTATTCGCTCACTGTGATCTGATGTATTTGATGCAACCTATGCTGCTGAACTATTTTATGGCTCCTTAATAATTCCTGGGATTGGAACATCTTGCACATCCTTTTATTCTCCAATGTTGAACCATTTAGACCTAGACTTTTCAGTCCATAATAGCATATTTATTTATGGGAATTTTTCCACTTGAATGTTTTTGAAGTCCATATAAAACTGTCAACAAGGTTAGATAGCAGAAAGGCAGATTCATCATTAATAAAATATATTCTAGACAAAAATGCTATTTAATGATGATTTAGCATGCCTCTCAAAATGTGATATATGCAGAAGTTCACTGAGTATCATGCCTTGCCTTCTAGTATTAACTGAACTATTAAAATAGTCAGGTGGGTTTCTCCAGATACAATGGATCTTACAATTGTCCAAGACAGGCTACAAAGCATAGCTAGAAGGAGGATGGTTCACCCCAAGCGGCCCATTTTTGGGGAGCTGCATTTTGTGCATAAAACATTATTTTATAGGGATTAAAAGTCGTGAATCGTCGAGACATGTAAATACTAATGAGATTCTGAATTGCATATCGAATTAAATTTAGTAAAAAAAAATAGTTTTTACTCGAGGTAAAGCATTTAAGAAATCACGAGATTTCAACAGCTACATAACTTTTTTTATTCTCTCAATACGTTTGAATGGAAATTACAAATATCAACTAGATTATGATTGCGGTGACATTATAATAACGAAGAATTCAATGTTCAGAAAGAAATATTTCAAGAACTTTATTTCTGTTATTGCTAAGGAAAACAAAACAGGAACATGGGAGGGTGGTACTTTTGAACATTTGCAGTTTATTTTAAAATATAATCTTCAGAACGAAGTTCCAAATATTGTAATACTATTGTGAGCTTTCCTCACAATTGCTGTAAGCACTGCTTTTTTTTAGAAGAGTTTTCTAATCCAAAATCATTTAGAAAGTATTTTAGAATTATAAATGTTTATTTTGCTTTTAAGAAAGCTCTTTATACCTTACAGCAAATGAAGCGGTCAAGTAAATCTATGATGTCATTGATGTTTTTTCAAAACAAAGCAACAAGCAAAATAATAATATATTTTAAAAAGTTTGGAATTAAAACCTTTTTTTCCAAAAATTAGCATAAAATTTTAATTTATTTCCCTTAGTTGTTTGGACATTTTTTTTTTTTTTTGATTTATTTGTTTGTAAATCAAGAGCGATAGTAAGTTTAGGGACCACCCCGGGCGGTAAAACTATGTCCCTAGCTACATGAATGTGCGTAATAAGATGGGAGAAATTTGGATAGCATCATTTTCAAGAAGATGAACAGGCGTTTATTTCAGAAATGAAAGCAAATGCTAGTCAATAATGCTGTGCAGGCATTGATTAAAAAACAACAAGGGGCTGTTTTATTTCAAGCGTTGTGTATACTCACGGACAATGTAATTGCGATTAAAGAAGAAATTATGCTAAAACTTCAAAATTATATAAACAGATAGAGTGTTGGCTGTTATGCTAATATTCCAAGTTTGGAGTGATTACGCATGACCGCATTTGCTGCAGTGACACTGCAAACACAAACGGACGGCCTTACAAACCAGAGGGAAACTAACATCTCTTTTGAATAAAAAAAAAAAAAATTACAAACCGATGCAAGTAAGAATAATGATAATACACAAACACTTCAATTTACTCAATTTATGAACTTCGAGATAGACCTTATTACCCCTTGCAGGATGCTAGGTGAGTCGTTTAGTCCGCCATGTGGCTTGTTCTGACCACGTTGTATGACACTGTCGAAAACAGTGAGTATATAAGTGGCACCCATATACGGTGAACCAGCTCAGATAGGCTGCCAGTTGAGAGAATCGAAGGATCATATGCCAGGCATGTATGTATCTCACTCCAGCCCGTCGACTATACAAGCAATATTGAGGTTTCTCTGCACTCATGAACCATTTCCAAATGCCAAAGAAAGCAATTCTGAGACCCCCAGTACTTCTTATCTATGTCTTTAATGCAGAAACGTCGACAGCTCCATTTGCAGTAGTACTTCCCAAAGAAACGTGCGATGCCATTTCACTGTGAATGTGTGGTGTTTAATGATGATTGGCACCTGGTTTGGGGAGCGTATAACAATCGTGTCGTCGATGGTACAATTCTAAACTCTCTGTCACACTGACATCTGCCCCAGTGCAGACATTATGGTTTGAGGAATCATAAATAATAGCCCAATCCATTTTACTTTTTTCTCTCAAGTGTAACGTGAATACGAGCCAGTTTTTCTTAAAAAGACCTCCACGGGGCATCCCTCCCTTTCCGTGTAGTGCCTAAAGGCGGAGCACGTAATAAGTAAAAAAAATCCATTTTACTTATGATATGTGGAACACTGATGGTCCTTTGGATGTGGATTAGATCCTACTGCCGTATGCGCCCCCATTATTCGCTGAAATACCTAAAATATCAGGTACAATATTCCAGGAGGATAATGTGTGGGAACACCGCTCAAGTTTGCCTACGTTGTCCAGACACTTCCATGTTTTTTCTGCTTACCAGTTTTTCCCTGACAAATATATGTGGGACTAGTTGAAAGGACAGTAATTTCAACTGTATCCAGGATTTCAAACATACCAACATGAAATATGGGCTTGATCCCCACAGGCCATCAGTCACCTATTCAGTACAAACTGCAATGTGAATCGCAACAATGAGTTTAATATGATGCGCTTTATTTGTTAAGAGAACAGCCGTATATAGATTTGTCTTTAGTAGTCCTGCTACTTTATTTTTACAGTCATGTGTATCATGCATCAATAAATTTCATTGAATCCGATGGGGCTTCCTTCTTCGTGCACTAATTTCATCGTCCGATAGTATATTTCAGTATTACACTTTGTTTGCCAAAATTTCAAAGATAATGATGAATTCATTTTCAAGTTACCTCTATTTGGTCTCTCCGAAATTGAGGAGTGAATGCTATCAAAGCAATTGGATGGCTCCTTTTCTTGCAAAGTCAAGTCCGAGAAGGCACTTCCAACGCTTTGGACAATTTGTAAAGCCTGATCCTGAAACCAAAAGATGTAAAATTTCAACGAATGCAATACAGCATTACTATAAAATTTTCAAGGTGTTAATTTATATACATATTTATAATAAATAATTCACTGTATGCTTATTATCTTAAACTCTCGAAAACAATAACATAAATAAAAGAACCTCTAATACTGGTTTACAATAAAGGCACAGGCCTATTGTCTCAAGGCAGCAGCTTGTGAAAACTTTTAGCCATTTCTGAGATTCTAACAGGGGCGTAGCTAGAGGGGGGCAAGGGGGGGCATCTGTCCCCGGGCGCAGAATCCAAGGGGCGCCAAACTGATGTTACGACATTTTAGAATTAAATGTTTTCCATCCTTGGCAAGCAGTAGGGGGCGCGAAATCTTCAGTTGTCCCTGGGCGCTGAAAATCCTAGCTACGACTCTGGATTCTAATTTTTATATGCTATGTTAATAAAAAAATCTCTGAAATGCATTCGGCTGTTTTTTAGGAAAAATATAGTGTATGCATCTTTATTTCGAATATTTGTTCTGTTAGCATAAAGCATGACTAACTTAAGAGGTTACATTTCAGTTTGTTAATAACACTCTTTTCAATCAGCTGTTGTCACATAGGAATGTTGTATGGAGACGTAAAACTAGTAAGTTTGAATAAAAAAAAAATTACTTAGAGAGAATGGCTAGTTGTAATTCATAAGGTTTTTCCTAGAATTTAATTACATTGGTGAAGCAAAACTGCTGGAATGAAGCCAATATCAAATAAGGATATATACTTGTAAAAATGTTGGTTTTTTTAAATCTCGGTTTGGTAAAGAATGAAAGCTTGGTTCAAAAATGTTGATTTGCTAAAGAAATTCCTTAAGATTATGGAAGATAGTATGTTCCACTTATGAACAGTGCAACATAAAAAATTCCGTCAGACTGTGGTGAAGTAAGTAGTACAGTCAAAAGTCGTTAATTCGGACACCCATAATCCGAGAAAGATCTATAATCCGGACCTCGCGTCGCTTTGACGCATGCACATAGGCGTTTACGCGTGCGCGTAAGACCTTTACGGCTGCTAATATGCATGTGCGCATGCGCATAATACGTTTACGCATGCGAGTTAAATGTATAACGAACAGTATAAGCTAAAATTATCTAATTCAATTAATGTTGCAGATTGCGTTGTTCCTTAATCTTCGAATTAGATCCGGCTTATTATTTTTTGCAGACTGTTAGAGCAATTTTATAAAAGTAAGCTTGAACTTTCAACTATGTCAAATAGAATTTCCGATATATATTTACTAATATGTAAAGGATCTACAAAGCGAAAGTATGTTTCGAAGTCCATTAAACAGAGTGGAATTGCTGCAAAAATTGGATAAAGGCATATCCTTTGATTGTCTAATCATTCCGAAATATGTTTATCAATTTCACGCTGCTCTGCGGGGGGAGGGAAACGACGCGGCGCACAATGAATTGGAAGTTGATCTGTCAACACTATACTTATCTTCAGGGCATATGTTTTTATTTTATTTGACTTATAATCCCTTACTAAATGTAGTATTTCATCTCGATGTACTCTGTCTTTGATATGATATAAATCAAGTTCCTCTTCATTATAATTTGCTTCTGATAATGAAGAAAGTGACGCAGAGGTTATTGAAAACGAAAAAATTTCGATATACAAATTAGTCGGTATTCTCGACTCAGCAATTATAGGACTTGAACAGCGGAACTTTGTAACTAAACAGGAAATTATGTCTGTTTAATAGAAATAAAGAGAAAGTATTATCACATGAAACGAAGCACCTTAAACAACTTACATTGAAAGAAATGTTTAATAAAGTAAACAAATAAATATTAAGCTTTTTCTTTTTGTAAATTTTGATACCCTTTAGATCATAATTGTTCTTTATTTCATAAATTACGGTTTCATATTTTTAATTATATAATTTCTGCATGCCATCTTACCAGATTTAAACTGATGATCTATAATCTGGAATCGCCGAAGTCCCGACGAGTCCGGATTAACGACTTTTGACTGTATTGAATCTATTTCACAAATGATAGAAAAACAGACTCTAAAAGTGTGTTTTGATGCACATCCATGACTATGTTGTGCAATTACAAACAATTTGGCGTTACAGGTCATAAATGAATGTTATTTCCATAGAGTAAAATTTGTAATTTACAGATAACGATAAACCTGATAATTTATAGTAATTTCCAAGATAGATAATAATTAACCAGTGATTGATAGGCCAAAGAGCGAATTAATATATTACTCGCCTCTAATGTGAGATCTTCAACACTGGTACTGGGTCTTCGTTCGCTGATCCTTCCTGTTAGTATCTTGGATCTGCAACCTCCGTAAATATTGGACTGCTGTGGACCTTCGATTTCGGGATCTTTAAACGACAACCTTTTCTTCTGTTTCTGTTGCTGTTGAAAGTTTTTCTCTGGCTTTTCTTGTGGTACAGAGTTTCGGGATCCAGCCCTCAGCATGCTTGTGGACTTAGGATCACCGGCCCACGGCTCGCATCGCGAAGCCCCGCCTACTTCACACAACAGCAGAGAAATGGAAAGAACAATCCAGAATTGACGTATGCATATCACTACTACTATGCTCCTTCAGTTGAGCGAGGTTTAGCAGCTAAAAAGACAGCAAATATTTAAACTCGGTTATCATGTTAAATGCTTCATAATATGCACCAATTTAACATATTCAAAACATGGCTGTATTGTAAATTAAATGATAGTAACTAGTGCTCAATTTTAATTATATTGAAGAGTAACACTCCGAAAATAACATTAAGAGATAATGTAATAAATAGTATAGTTAATAAATAGGCTTTTCGGTGGTAAAGCAGTCCAAACTCATATCATTATTTAAACACGGGCTCCTTGAAATGAAATATTTTATTTATATTTACGTTATCAACAATTTCTGGTAATCATATAAATTTTACATACTACATGCAGTTATAAAATTACCAGTTAATTTATCGGGGATATTAATACAATTATTTCTAGATTCAGATCACACTAATCTATTCTGAGCTAACCTGAAATACCTGAATGAAACTTGCTCTTCATGCATCCTTTTCTAGAACCCTTCTTTACTTCTTTGTACGAAGTAAAAAGGAAGTATTGTAATCGCGAAAAGTTTAAGGCATATATTTCAACGAAAATATCAATTTTGACTGCTATCGAATGCAATTTAAAGATGTTTTTGCGTGGCATCTGTACGTAAGGACAGAATAAAAGACTCCAAAAAAATTGTAAACCTGATTTAAAATGAATTTTGAATAGAATTTTTCGTGGCATCTGTGTGTACGTACGTATTTCGCATAACTCAAAAACGAGTACTAACTCAGAACGTTGAAGTTTTGTATATAGGACTGCTATAACATGTAGATGTGCGCTTCGTATTTTGGTTGCAATCGGCCATACCAAAAGTATATAAATATATGTACGAGACGTATTCGGTAACTAAGTACCGTTTTGAAAAGAAAAAAAAAAAAAAATAGTAAAACAATTTTTTCGAATCCAATTTTATTTTTACATGAAAATACATGTCTTAAACTATTTTTCAACATAGTTTCCGCCAATGATCAAACACTTGTCATAGCGGGTGACCAGTTTTGTATACCATCGTCAAAAAAACTTCCCGCCAGTTTCGATAACCACGACTCCACAGCATTTTTCGTGTCATCGTCAGATCCAAAGCGCTTGCCACCAAGCTCGCGCTTTATGTACAGGAACAAGTGATAGTCGGACGGCGCCAAGTCCGGGCTGTACGGCGGGTGATTGAACTGCTCCCAATGAAACTGTGGAATGAACGATTGAGTGACACCAGCAGTATGGGGCCGAACATTGTCATGGAGCAACACAATTCCTTTACTGAGCATTTCTCTTCGTTTGTTTTGAATGGCACGCCTTAGTTTTGTTAAAGTCTCACAATATCGTGCCGCATTAATGGTTTCACCTCTGGGAAGAAATTCAGTAAGCAAAACGCCTTTCCTATCCCAGAAGACAGCGCACATGATTTTTGTGATGACATTATCACTTTGAACTTTTGTTTTTTCGAAGAATGAGTGTGTCTCCACTCCATCGATTGTTGTTTCGATTCTGTAGTGAAATGACACACCCAAGTTTCATCACCTGTCACTATTTGGTTTAAAAAGTTTTCTCCCTCATCACTGTACCGCGTGAGAAATGTCAGGGCACTACCAAGTCGCTTTGTTTCGTGAACATCAGTGAGCATTTTTGGAACCCATCGGGAACACAGTTTGCGATAATTCAAGCCGTCAGACACAATTTCGAACAAAACAGTACGTGAAATTTGTGGAAATGCCTCTGAAAGAGTTGTCTTTGTGAAGCGTCTGTTCTCATGAATCGCTTCATCAACTTTCCTTACCAAATCATCGGTGACAACAGAAGGCCGACCACTCCGAGCCTCGGCGTGGACATTTGTTCGACCTGCATTAAACATTCTTACCCACTTTCTCACCATTCCATCACTTATCGTGTATTCACCGTAAACTTCTGTCACTTGACGATAAATTTCGGCCGGTTTAACATTCCTCGCGTTCAATAATTTAATCACGGCGCGAATCTCACAGTCAGCGGGAGAACTAATTGTCTTAAACATTTTGAATGTGCACAGCAAACTGAAAACACAACATAGAGCAACCAAAATGGCGACAATTGAAAGTCAGTGAACAAGAAAGACTAGTGCGCATGCGCGGGACACCTACCACAGCGCTGCGACGGCGCTAGAATGAAACGGTAATTAGTTTCCGAATACGCTACGTATATATATATATCCACTTTGTTACCCGGCTCAGTGATTCCAGTTTCTTTACTCTTATGTATTTGTAATTGTGCATTTTTTGCTTTAAAAATGATTGAATTATGTTGTTCTTATCTTCCAGTTAAGGTTTTTATGCCTTTAGTAAATCTGTATGCAATATTTGTAGAGTTATCAACAATTTAAAAGTTGTTTAAGTGCGGCTAAGCCTAATTATTTTTTCCATGGCGGCCATGTTTGTTTACATATGAAACTGGCAGAATAGCGGATTTGTTGCCAATCTAGAGAAACTAAGCTTCGCAACAACAAAGATAATGCCTTCATATATTATTGCGAATTAAATCATGCTTGATCCATTCTGGAATTTATTCGAGGAAATAAGTGTTTAAGATTAACTTCGTAATTCTTGATATAGATATTTTGAGTTTTTATGTATTTTTGCTTTGCCGCGAAGTGAGAACTGAATTAATTGAATGAGAAATATTGAATCGTCTGGGGAAAACTTTTTTTTTTTTTCTTTGCTTAATTTCTTTTATACATCGTTTTAAATTTATTATAGTATTTGAAAAGAACATGTGGCAATGATTAGATAATTCTTCAAATGATATAAATTTCGTGCTTTCTGAGTTATAATATTACATTATTGCTAATCAGAAGAATAATTGTTATGAAATTTTAAAAATGCGTTACAATACATCCTGCAAGATATGGCACCACCAGAGCTCCAGTCAACTAAAATGCTTTTCATCCCTACTAATAGATGGCGACACACGAGCGCCTCATTTGTTCAAAGTTTACTTATTCTACTGACGACGGCACAGGGGCTTCCGTCGCTAGTAGTCTCTGAGTTCTAGCACAGCATGTGCACAAGTACTTCCATATTGGATACAACTTACTCGATTCTTCAAGCATTTAAAAGTCAAGTATAACATATTGGTAAAGGCCGTTAATGGTCGATTGCCTCTAAGTGATAAGACAAAGACATAGTTATAATATTACTGGTTAAAATCCTAGTGTGATTGTGTACCAGTATACTAGAGACTATTAGGATTAGTTATAATATAAACGAAATGTAACGTCGTTAAGCGAACCTAGCGCCAGAGTGTCGCAATGGTAATAGTGAATTTTAAAGACTGCATTTATTCTATTTTGGATTATGCGCTATCGACGAAGTAGATTTAATTCAGTCCCATAAGTTTAAATGAAATGCAAGAAAAAATGCATATAATTTAATATTTTGCACAAGGAAGTCATGTGGTGTACACATCAGATTTTCCCTTTAGTTGAGCAGCATCATGTTTCTAAGTATAATTCATCATTCTCTGACTCATCTTTAAATTCATACATTGTCTCTCTGACTCATCTTTAAATAAAGAATCCAGAACTGACCATATCCTAATCAAGATCATATAATGTTTATACTGCAAAGGTGCAAAAGTTTTGTTTTCGTAGATTTATGAAATGCTTTGTCTAAAGTTTTATGAAAAATTTTAAATGTTCTCCTCCTCCTCGCAATATAACTTAACTAACTTTAAATCGCAATAACAGAAAAGTATACAACGAATCATGTAGCACCCAATGCTAGCTATAAAGTACCTTCGTAGATTTACCATCAATCAGTGACTGACGAACGAGACCTGATCTTTTAATTATGAATTCACGCAGCTACTCAACATATGCGGCTTGACATGCGTACCATTCAGCAATGTATGATACAAAGAATACCGGATCACTGTCAGCAATGCTAATTGAGATGCAGAGAACGTTTCTCAACAGAGAATGCCGACTGATTATTCCGGTGAATGATACGTTGGGAAATATTCACCTAGGCATGTGGCATATATAGTTGGCTTGTACCTTTAACAGGTACTTCCAGATTCATCAAAACAGTCTACAACAGTCTGCAAGAACAGCAACAATAGCCAGTATGCATTAACCAATCAGCATAAACTTGTATGTTTAGTGTGGTGTCGGAATCATCAGATGAATCCCAGATCTGTCTCTGGCAGAAGGCCACCTGTGGATGGTTTTCCAAATATTTACAGAAAATATCGCAAACGCCAGAATTTGGTGTATTTGATTATGACAAAGCACATGACAGCTATCTGCGTAAGAGGGACACTTTCGTGAGGGACTTTCTAAGAGAAACTGGTTCATGTTCATGTTACAGATGGGGAAAGCAACGAAAACACCCATGCAGCAGCCTGCACCCCTGAAATCAAACCAGCATCCCCCAAATTGGTGAATCTCTCTTCTTTCTTATTATTATGAGAGAAAGACAGTCATGGATGAGAGGGTTATTCACGGGAACACTTCGCCCTGTCATTTTGGTTGAGAGTCACTCCAGGCCGAAACATGGAATTATGTTTTGAGGCAGGATCACATTCGATAACCACAACACTTCCTGTACACATATCTTATTATGTGACAACGGCTAGTACGTGATTCAGATTATGGATTTTGTGGTCTGCCAGTGGTGAAGGTTTCACCTGGCACAGTACTATAACAATACAACGTCGACTGTACGGAAAACTCTCACAACAACAAGAGACACAACAAGAGACATGTGACATCCTTTTTGCCATCAACCTCGCTGAATCTCACCTATTCCGTGGACTGGGGGTAATATAATTTATTTGATTATGGCAAAATACCCCTATCTGCCGGTCTCCTCATCGAACAGCTGTACTATTTCATTATAGGTGAGAGAGAGGTTCGGTGTATCGTGGTAAATACGATTTGGCAACAGAAACAAACCTCCAAACAATTAATCACCTTACTTGCAATACGCCTAGCCATATAGAGGACCGAACCGCTGCTCTTGGGGTTACACTAA